GGGCTGCACCTTGTTTTTCATTTATTAAATAGTACCCATGTAACACTCCATGATCAGTAATCATAAGCATGATAGGACATGCCGGGTGTTGTCTATCTTCCCCTGTTTCATGAGTACGTATATATGGTTGTAAGAAGCAAGTATTCTAAATGGATGGCTAAAATTTCAGTTTTATTTCATCATTAATGAATTATGTAAACTGTTGATGTACCAAGTGATAGCTTAACGTTCGAAGAAAAATCGAATGACAATCCAGCAGGAAAGGCATCAGCGTTTGATGAAAAATCAATTGGTACTTCTGCTCGACTGCCGTCAGCCAGATCCCACCAAGTACAACCCTGCGAGACCAAGATTTAAAGTTGGAACTATTGTAAACAGATACTAATAATATTATATAAAGTGGCTCTAACCGAGGAAAATTCCCCTATGGTCGTTACTTCCATTGCATTAGCGGAAGCAGAAATGGCTAAATCCCTAAAATTAATAAGAAAATTGGATTTAATGCTGCAATATCAAGTGAGCTAAACTCTATTTACTTCAGGTGCAATCTTACCATTCTTTGATATTAGATATAAAGAACTGATCTACTCTTTTTTCTTCCATTACCATTCCAAAATAGGTATCTTCAAAGTCTGTTATCTTAGGAGCGGCATTTTTCTGTCGTCGTACCGTACGATGGATTATGATTAAAATGTTAATTGCAAATAGATTAAAATTAGAAAATTAAAGCGAGGACTTACTGGAGTGTCTATTACTACTAGTGAGGGGGATTCGTCGCTATCGTCTTCATTCCCCGATAGTACAGGCATATAAATAATCATAAAAACGTGACCAGAGAACCATAGAACGTCCGTCACTGAAGAAACATTATCACACAATCAGAAAATAGATACCAACATGTAAAGGTACTAAATGTAGATCCAACTAGAACCTTTATGTGGAGTTTTTAATCCGCATGAAATCTGCCGCTGAGCAGGCTCATCAGTTAACTAAAAGATGTTATTGAAAATAAGCAAATTTAGTCAATTTGATTACCCTCCAGTCGAGATGCTATATTCATTAAGTACGATATGTTAGCTTAAAACAGACTTTGTATTGTGTAAGATTCCCATGAGCGTCACCAATAAGAAGTTGCGTTCCTTTAGGACTCCAGCATACTAAAATCACCCAATATAATCCGGCTTAGTGTTGTGTATTTTTTGTACATTATAAAACACTAACTATCTATATGTATGATACTCTATTACAAAAAATTGATTATAGACATATATTAAATGCAATCATACTAGCAGTAGCCACAGGATTAGGTCTTCTACACCATGTCTGCTGTATATTCTTCCAGTTGCTATCAAAGGCATAAACCGAAACGCTCCCATCGCTCAAACACGTAGCGAAATTGTTCGTAGTACCAGGATTCCATTTGCAGTCGACTAGATATAGACCTAAATACATCGATACATCAATTTATTTGTTATAAATGAAATGATAAGGCCACGTATAAACATTGTAACGTTGAACATACCATCCTCATTACACAATGACATGCCTGCAAAGAAGTTCTGAGTTATGTTGCTCTGCAAGCACATGTAGTATGAAATACAAACATTATTACACGAGAGAATACACAGTACAATATAACATTTGCTTATATGACATCTTTGTGGTAGAGACCGGAAAGTTACCAAGTTTTAAATAACAATATATAGTATCTAATTTTAGTAGTACATACCTGACGAAAACGACCAACTTTGGCGAATCCGATGCATGGCCTAATTTTGTCCCTTAACATGCACACTGCTAAAATCTCACCATCAGCTGATATAGCTAGAAAGGTTATGGAGTCTTTTGGCCTTTGCATAGAGCTAATTGGTCGGCATCTATCTCCTATGCAATTTTGAATCAGTAACTCCAATTAGTTATTTTAATGTCAAGTGCGACTTTGTTGCATGTGTACATACAAATTTTAATAATTGCAAAAGAATTTCATTAATCCTTTCCAATAGAAAGAAAAGGGAAAGAACACCCTCTGTGTTACTATCCTGTAAACTATGACGTTAAGTACTTAACAAATAGTTGAAGTTTGTATTTTAGTGTCAAAATGCATAATATCGTGCAAAATAATCCAACGGATAATAATAACCTTTGTAGGGTTCGTCTCTGTCTTTAAAATCTACTGCATCCAAGTCGGAAAAAATTTTCGTTTCGTAGGCTCTTAGCTCTAAGAAATACAAATTAAATTGCTGTTTACATCTATCAGATTTTACTGAAAATTTAATCAATGCCAATTTATACGCAGTCCTAAAAGTGGAACTATTGGAAAATTTTTGAGCCTATTTTATTTATTATTATTATTATTATAGATAGCGCGTCAGTACTCTACTCTTGCATCATTGTACAGCATAGAAGCGATTAAGACTTTACTACAAGCACTATACTTGAATAAGAAATGTTGCTTTCAATACAGTAGCTCAAGGATATTGCTGGTTACGACCATGCTCTGTTCATAATCACCTACACTTCTTTACTGCTCAACAAATATCTACTGAGTACAGTCACTAATGAAACTTGTAGTATGCTACGCACGAGCTACCAATCTTAACTCGATATCAACTTTTGCAATTTTTGTGAGAGACTAATTATTGCTGGTCTGTTATAAGCAGGCACGACAAGGATGTAACCTCGTCTCTCTCTATGGATTTTCTGTAGCTATGGTATGAAATAGCTTTCAAAATTATTGATGACATCGATAAAGAGAATTTATCAACAGTGATATGTTTACAAAATAACTGTAGCACTATCTTTAATATATCAGTAGCATATTAATTGATATCATGACTATACATTACCATTTTTCCAAGCGATAAAAGTTAATCCATGAATTGTTGAACTTGCTAACAAATTGAAGCGATATGGACCGAAATCAAGATTGTCATTGACAATTTGAATGGGTTTCATATGCCTATAGTGGAAGTGCTATATCATGCAAAAATGGCAATGCAATTCAATAACCAAAACAGTCCATATTATCATTTCTAGTTAATACATTGATGCAATGCTCGATCGATCTAATACTAGAATAAGATACAGCATTAATAATCTCGTCAACGATAGAATAGTAAAAGAATAATTTCCAGTATAGTGCTCATTGCAACGCTTTTCTGTAGTCACACATTACATCCAGGAGTTGTTAGCTTTGCAATACTCGCATTTACAGTGCGGTAAACGACACAATGATCGTCACCTTGCTAAGCTGTAGAATGGATGGTCATCATACTGCATGAGCTACAACTGTCAAGACTGTGATCGATAATCAATCGAAATAAAGCAGAAATAAAAGTTACTCGAGAAACTCTGCAAATCTCCAATTACTTACGCTGATTTCTTTCCTTAATTCTACCGCCATGATGGATATCGTATTTCTGAAGTACAGTACTGTACTGTAGTGTTCTGATCACCCACTAGCGTATACTCTACACTACAGACTGTAGTGATAAAGACAGACTAGCAAGTGGCAAGGAATCTCAAGTCGCTATATCCAGTACTGTACTGTACATGTACTGTACTGTCTCTTGGTACGTACTGTACACTGTACACTGTACAGTACAGTGTGTTCGCTTTGAGGTCTTTATGGTCTGATCAAAGAACTGTAGTATAGTCACCCAAAAGGCTGTAAATTACTATAGTAAATCCTACCTGCTCATACTCAGCGTGATCTTTTTCGTTTTAGATAATTTAACACTAATGTTTTACGACATTTTGAGAACGAAATTCATCAAAATTGTTATGTATTACATTCTGAATACACTACAGCATTACCTTGGCACTTCTAGCAGAGCTCGCATTAATACGTACATGTGTAGCGAGTAGATAAATAAAATCTTGTACCAACTTACGTTCAATTATGAAATTCCAATTTACTCCCAAACAGAATAAGAAGATAAGCTTTAATAATGAATAGTTTTTGTCTATTTATGCTCTATGTGGGTTTATGCAGAATAGGCAATCGAAAAAGACCATGACGATAGCTGGATACGGATACTTATTATTAGTTATTATGGGGGGGGGGGAAATTAAAGTAGGATAGATCTGTATTTAAACTTTTGCAAGCTTCCTATCAGTAAAGCAAGGCAAAATATCATGATAACAGAAAACGTATGTAATTTTTCTGACTTACTGCTGTATAAAGTGATAATAAATTGATTTGTTTACATGCTCATGTACGTTAATTAATTCATCCGGCTAAACTAATTACTTCGCTTACGAAAGTTTTTGTTGAATATGAGGTATTAAATTTAAATTTATTTAAATTTAGATAGTCAAGTTTATTGTAAAGATGTACCGCCAATGGACCACTAAACACGTATTTAATATACGTACGAAGGAAGTAGCGATTCATCGCATGTTAACTCCAAATTAGAGACTTAGAGGAGAGAATTTGGACAAATGCAGCTAATCATACGAAGTAATATGAAATGTTGGAATACTACACTTTATAGAGCATATAAATTCACACATTGTAGCATATGATAGAATTATTCATAGTTCATGCCAAAATACTATCACATCGCTGTATATTTTAACCTTGACACACTTTACCATAATCACTAATTTGCATCCTGGTTTTTATATGCACTTTAAAAATAATTGATCTTTCACATATTACATGGATATTTATTGTGATATTAGTATAGACCATAATTTTGAAGAAATGTTAAGAAATGTAACAATATCATAATCAGCATGGACTATAATCCGTTAGTATGCTGTGACATACTACAGCAGCTAAGTACGCAGATATAACTGAATATTGCTGATGCAGTACTGTATCTGTATCATCTTACTACTATATCATGTAAGAAAATTATGAATGCGAACTGAGATAATTAATAATCCGCAAAGATAATACGCTAATGAGATTGTGTAGAAGTTTTATACTCGTATGCTGCATATTAATCAAATTATGCATCAAATAGCTACGAAATTTCAAGTCGTAAATTTTACTATCTCATCTCTTTGTTGTAATTCATACTTGTTACCGGAGAAGGCAATGCTATAGGGGGATTAACATTATACGAATGATAGCCTGGTCTACTAGGTATAAGTTGAAAATTTAAATTACGATTGCTATCGGATGATTGAGCAGGAAGATGATTACATAACGGCGAATCGTAAGGGTATTCTGAAGTGAAACCAGCCCCGACATAAGGATTCGAGTTCGAAGAAGGAAAGTTACTGTATGTAGATGCGGCATAATATGGTGTTGGCTCTGAAACTCTTGTAACTTGAGGCGTTAAAGAAGTCGCTGGATAAATTGCAAAGTGATGGTTATTCCTGTTGACGGTATTAAAGTTTCGATTACCATCTAGGCTATAGGAATTCGAGTATCCAGGAGTATATCCAGTTGTTGGATAACTATTTATGTTATGTTCACGAAAAGAGCTTAATAAGTTTTTACTCAATTGATTGGTAGTATAACTGTTGATTGATTGACAACTCGTCAACTGCGAATTACTATCACGAAATGCTTTGGCAAACGGATTATTTTGAATTTTCAGTTTAGTTACCTATACAGTAAATATTAAAAAAGAATAATATTGCAAGTCTGGAATAGATAAATTCCATATGGCGTACAGTATAATCGAAAGAAATTACTTATCTTAATATTTTAAATTTACTAACTTGAACATTTTGGTAAGAAGTTACTGCAAAGAAACGAGTCTCTGGGAAAACGGCAATTCTTGATCCTAAGTTGGGTGCGTCAATTCTCATAATATGAATTCTTGGCTGATATTTCCGCATCGAGTTCAAGATAATCTATACAATACAAGCAAGAGGTGATACAAAGTTAATACAACAATTTTACTATCGAAAATATTTACAATTGTGAGCTACAACTGAAATTACTCTTAATGTACTCATTAATTAACTCAGGATATGGTATAAAAGCAATCTTCCAACGTACACATCCTTTCGTCTTACAGCTCTTATCATTACTCAATTTCATTTTCTTAAAGCTAATGCTATTGGCCTTCATCCAAAATTTCCCCGTATTTGGTGAATCAGGGTGCTCATAAGTTCCAAAGGAGACATTACTATTGTGAGATGTAATCACTGCATGATTGCCATTTTGTACTGGTACCCATCCCGATGCTGGTATATATTTGTAGCGATGGTTATCAGCCGCTGTTATATCAGCCTTAATAATATATCTACCATCTGAATCAAGACCACTTAGACTAATTTCTAACGTTGGAAATAGACGCCTGTAAACATATAGCAATCAGAGTAAGGCATTAAAAGATAAAAGAATACATTATTGGCCTATTTTAAATTTAAACACTACATTTTATCGCGTGATAATATTTTTTAGTGCTTAACTAATACCACGCTCAAGTTGTAATTGAACTTTTAGTGATATTAGCCAGACAGTTTCACATGGGTTGTGTGTGCTAATAGTTTTCAGTAATGAACATTAAAGCAATATTACCTTCCGATCCTTGTAATGATCATTTCAGTTCCAAGGTTTGAAAAAGCATGCCACATCTCTCGATTAACCAAATGAACCTGTACATCTTGCAAAATACAGTTGGTTGCAGTAACCAAATTGCTATTCACTGATTCAGCTGGTAGAACCGATAAATCATCAGATGACCTATTAAATCCTACTCGAAAGTTTCTGTTGCATGAATAACAACCACAAAATGGACCATGGTTACCGTATGATGGACTTTGCGATGTATCTTTATCCTCGGCTTGATCACATCTACTGTCATCAGCGACAATTGACTCAACTGAATAATTCTTACTTAACTCACTCTTGCTACTTTGCATATTAACAAGGTTCAACTTGTAACCAAACAATAATCCTTTCACGAAAGATAATTTCTACAGACGTATCTTGTGAAATTTGCCAGTAATGATGCCAGAAAAGATTAAATAATGGAGAATTAACTCTCTAATGAATGATACTTTGTTCGTCTAAGGAAAGTACAAGTAGGTATAATAGTCAACGAAAATAGTATTAAAGAACAACGAATAAATTTTCAACGCGTGAGAAGCCAATAGGAATCTATCACATCACTTGGTGTTACTGGACAATTTATATCACTGTTTCATTTATAACTTTTCATGCAAGTCCAGCAATTGACAAAGCGTTAAACACCTTGAGTGCAAATACGGCCATTTTATTATCGCACTGCAGAGTGCAACTTTTCTCATATTTCGCATCTTGCAATAGTAGCCCTTTTTAACTGCGTAGCTACTGCTAGGTGTATTAAATCACACTATCTTTATTCTCTATATTAAAATAGATAATTTTTTAATACATGATATCAACATCTCTCCTCACGTACCAGGTTTTATGTTGCAAGCAAAATCTTTGACTCAATTAATGCATATCCATCTTTATCAGGAAATGGCCATAGTTGTAATTTTAATTCGTTTATAGCATACGCAGATTGAACACATTTTCGGAGATAAACAGTGTTACACCTTCATATATTTGATATTTTGATCATGTGGTAAATAGGAAATGATGTTTATCTGTTTTCCGTATGTATCCTTCAGATATTAAGAAGCGAGTTTCAAGTTGAAAGATAGCGGTATTAGTGATTTTTGTTATAGCAAAGCACCGTATAGATTTTTAAATTGTATTTGCATAAATTAGCGCATACTGTAGTCTTGCACCAAACTTTCTCGTTTAGTACAACATAGCGACAATGACTTATTCAAGATTATGTTTATAGGGTAGCGATGTGGATTTATCATCACCTCGGTTGGAATTAGCAAAAAAACAAAAATAGTTACAGTAAACAATATTTTTATTTGTATATGATCACACCAATCTTTTTCAGGGATTACGGTACCCAATAAAGTGCTCAAATACTCCCTGTTTTTATTTAATCCACTAAATCAGTATTAAAGGTAATATGATAGGGTATGCATCGCTTGTGCTACTGTCTATAATTGGATGTATTCTACTATAGTACGTAGTACTTTATCCATATACAGCACATTTGAATAGTTATACGTATATACGCAATACTAATGACCTGGTGATGCATTTTTACTAAATTACAAGATATACATATACTCGTATATACCGAGGTCAAGGTGTGGTCCAGCTCGAATGCTATAAACGCACCATGCAGTACAACATATATTAGAGACACGTGAATATATCTACCCATACAATAATGATTGCAAGCATAGCCTAAACTGTACACTGTACACTAGTGTACAGTAATGATAAGATAGAACCTTTATAGTACTATCTTCGACATCTTAATCTTAAAAACGAAACAGAAGCAATTCAACCCATTTAACTAATGTACGCGTATAGTAACATACGTATATACGAGTATATAGATATGTATTATAGCTGCGAATCATGGCAAAAACCAGGGGATTAGATATAAAATCGAATACTAATACCGAAGTATTCCAAACTCCGTGCAACCTTCATACAACAAGCTAATATTACAGTCTAAATAACTTACAGCGAAAGCAATTTGATTTACAGTGATAAGAATTAAAGTTTATTGTTTCTTCTAAAAACTGTGAAAAACGGCCTAATTAGCTATCTAATTCATGAATTATAACTATCAAGATTATTTATTATACGGTTTATATTCACACTGTTTTATATAATCCAAAATCAATTAATTATTAATCCATCATTCAGGACAGGAAAACTAAGAAATGACTAAAGCCTACCCGTTCGCGTAGTAAAGTATTGTATGCGAGTATATGATAAGCTTAGAAATTATAGATGCTGTGAAGTTAAAATCGCGTTACTTAATTGTCTTACGTTAAAGTACCCATTTCTCATTGTAGCCTTTAAGATAGTAATTATAAGAGAGATTACATGACTGCGATCGATATTTCAGCGCTAAAACGCAATAGATGCCGTAAGTCGCACGGCAATTCTAATTACTTTATTAGTTAATGTGTGAAAAGAACCAATTTTTTTATATACGGTAGGCAGCTGCTAGCCAGTAATAGGGAGTAATAATTAGTACATTTCTACTGTTCAACATGGTCAGACGTAAAGAACTCGCACTGACTACAAAAATGGCTTTTCAATTAATAAATTATACACGACCACTACCAGAAGAAAATTTCATTGCCTAAAGAAGTGAATTTTAGTAGTAAGGTTATTACACATAATAGAATTGGGATGAAAATCCTATAGAATTAAATCATCACAATTGAAAAAACTATAAGTACACACCTTGGTAATGTCGATACCAGTTAGGTCTTCAACTACCTTCGGCATTTGTCGGATAATATTCAAAACTTCTCCGGTTATCTTACTAGCGCCAACCTCTCCATCTCCGCCAGAGACCATAGTAATTTTACGGGCTTGTGAGATTGGAGCTGCTACTTCAGCAGCAATCTAAATTATAGGGTTATGAATAATGTAATGAAATAAAAAAAATTTTATACTTATAAACATAAGTGATATTTATAAATACCTTGGGCATAGTTTCCAATACCATATCGACCATAGCAGCCTCTTGGTATTCTTTCCAAGCATCTGCTTTCTTTGCCATTTGTTCTGCCTCAGCTTTCGCTTTTGCTTCAACCGCAAATGCTTCTGCTTCACCTTTAACCTACATAAACGAACAAATATCATATCAACTAGGTTATACCAGCGTAAATATCAATACCAGATGCAAAGGAAACGGAAATTACTCGTATGGCTTCAGCTGCAGCTTCAGCTTCGAGGATAACTCGCTTTCTATTTTATAGAACAAGTACCGCCATCAGGGTTATCAAATTAGAAAAAGAAATTAATCATAGTTATATCAAAGTTACTTGTTGGCTTCAGCTAATTTTTCTAGTTTATATTTCTCTGCTAGAGCAGGTTGTTTAACTTGGGCTTCTAATTCTCGTTCGCGTCTAGTGATTTCCTGTCACCATGAAAAACGTTTCAGTAAATAAGTTACATTCACTATTAGTACCTTCATCTTTGAGAGCTCACCTGTTCCTGTACTTGAATCTGTTGTGCACGTTCAACAACCTTGATTTGCATCTCTTCCTCCTTTATTCTCTGCTTTGTTTTGGCGGCCTGCAACTCGTAAGATAGATCTGCTTCGGCCTTGCGTGTATTGACTTCAATATCATAAGCAGCCTTTTTCAATTGGAAATCCCGTTGTGATTTAGCCACTTCAATGTCATTAGTGTACTGGGCTGCCATTTTTTGCTGTTCAGCTCTAGCTTCCTAAAAGTGAACAGAGGAATAAAATCTACATTCAATAATCGATATCGCTTTTACAATAAAATACGCCTATTATCTTTAAAGAATGATGATACCTTGATTCCAGAATCTCTTTTCGCTTCTGCCTCACCAATCATAGCATCTCTCTTTACTTGTGCTGTACGAGCCATACCAAGAGCAAGTAGATACCCTTCGCTATCACGAATATCTTTTAACGTATAGCTTACTACACTAATTCCCATGCTAACAAGATCGGATGACGCGACATCAAATACACTTTTTGAAAATTTTTTACGATCTTGGTAAATTTCCTAAAGTTGCAAATGTAATTGGTAATGTTTAATGGAAGGAAGTTATAAAAGCCTGATAATAACTCTACAGAATCAATTAATTTCTACGTTACGTTACTCATGAGATGAGCCGTACCTCAACAGTCATGGTACCCATAATAGCACGCTGATGGCCTTCCAACGTTTCTTGCGCAATACGCCTCATTTCAGTTTCTGTTTTACCCAAGAATTGTTGGCAAGCAGACTGTAACATTTCTTCATTGGTGCTCTGAACTTTGACTTGAGCAACACCAGTTACAGATATAGCTACACCTTGACGAGTATACACATTAGGTGTGTCTATGTTCAGAGTTAGCGTATTCAACGATAATCTGCATAGTAAACAGCATGGATAATTTAGTACATTGTTGTGATGCTGATTGCGTATTATTACAGAGTATCAGGATAATTTGGCACGCTACGTATACAGGTATAATTTAAAATGGTAACTTAATTGCTGCAATGGGAAAACTTTTAACTGGCTATTCAAATGGCAATCACCGTACAATTTGTACTGGACAGCATTGCGATAAGTTTGGTTTTACAGATAGATACAGCATATCGTAGCCACAGTTTATAATTGATTATGCATTTAACTTAAAGTCGGTACTTGATCTAGTAGAATTATTATTAATACATTACCGTTGAAGGCGTTGAACGATTGGCCAAACGAAAACTCTGCCACCAGGAATTACTAATGGCCTAGTATGGCACATACCTATGATATTATTTGATAATAGTATAAGTACAATAGTCGCATGAAGATGCAATTTAAGCCGAGTCAATTTTAAGAGTTCAATAATAAGCAACGATCAGGTTAATGAGGTTATGCTGTCACTAGGATATTGGCAAATAGCTCATCGGCTTGAATCATGAATAACACGTTTGGTATACAGTATACTGTATAACTGCAGTAGAATTGCATGATTGCAGCAAGGAAACACCCTATCGTGGATTACTTCAGCTAATAAGAAACAACGATCAGGTCCATGGGGCTATACTGTCACTAGGATATTGGCAAATAGCTCATGGACTTGAATCACGAATAACACGTTCAATATACTGTATAACTGCAGTAAAACTGCGTGATTGATTGCAGCAAGAAACACCTATCGTGGATTACTTCAGGCAAGAACAAACAACGATCAGGTCCATCGGGTTATACTGTCACTAGGATATTGGCAAATAGCTCATCGACTTGAATCATGAATAACCATGAATAACACGTTTAATATACTGTATAACTGCAGTAAAACTGCGTGATTGATTGCAGCAAGGAAACATCCTACACCATGGATTACTTCAGTCCATTCTTGCACTGATGAAACTGTGCCAGTCTTGTTGAGCATGCGTGGTACGAAACAAAAGAAAAAATATAATATAATAATGCCAAACGCAACGACTACGCCCATGGTTACCTACTGTATCAGAGTAGGGTACGATACTGGACTACTTGTGGTAGTACTATATATTACGACGAATCAGCTTTTATATTTCACACAGGTGATATCCATTTGCCTATAGTACTGTATTACAATCTGTGTTGAGCCTCGCCCGTGTGTCTCCCAAATTACGCGAACTCAAGATTACAAATCTTGGAGTGTGTGCCAATAATTAATTATAAAGCTTGGCAGAGTAGACGACAAATTCTAGAGGCAATAGCCAGGCCGTGTAAAGTCGTTATTCTACTTTTAAACATAAACTAGTTGTAGAGTGAATGTATTTGTGGCTTACTAATCCTTCTAATAGTCAAAATAGCATTGGTTATTAAATTACAGATAGTTGTATTGTGCAATTATTTATCTCAAAGTAGTCAAGAAATGGCTTGAAAAGCATGTTACCGTCAATTCAAAGGTTCCTCAACTAAAGCTCCTTGCAAATATAGAGTGAAAGTTCAGATCTAGTCTTGAATTCTACATATATATTCTAAAAAGCTACTAGTGTTGGTAGAGTAAAAGTGATCAAGCACTGTTGGCTCTCACATAAATAGATGTCACTGTCTATCGTTTAACTACGAAATATTACTGTACTCTTGATCGTCAAAATCAATCCAAATCGGATCTATACGAAGTTTACAGTTGTTTTGAGGTCTATTGACTGAAGCGGAATGTATTGATATCATATTGCGGCATATTTGGATCAGTCTGAGAGCTAAAGAGATAAAATTTGTTCATGGTTTCTTGAGAAATTGCAACTTTACAATAAAGCATGGCCAACACGAAACGATATACAGTGCCGTAATGACATCATTACGGCCATTTACGACATTGATCTCAGTTGATATTATCATGCCCAATATGTTAGACTAGTATGCTAATGTACGAATTGTGCGGTGATCTGACCAAAGACACATCAAGGTAGAAATGCATCTGACAAATTTCTTAATCGCCACTACTGTAGGTGTTTATCCAACGTTGGTAGAAAAGAGTACAAGTGTAAGATAGATTCAGTTTTCCAGCTACAGTAGTGTACTTTTCTATTATTCTATCACTAACAGACGCTAATACTGTACAGTGTACAGTATCACTATAATCGACTTGATCCGAAATAAATATACAATCAAAAATTGGGAAATAACGTACGGTAAACTGAGTATAGCAGAGAGTAGACTAGCCGTGAACTGTACTACACAGAAGGGCATCAGCTTTCTCTCAAAGTCTCCAATACATATCATAACTTGTGAAACAGTGCACCTCCATTGACCAAATACGAATGTCGAATAAAAAGACTACGCTTGCTTATCGTTATAATCGACTTGATCGGAAATATACAACCAAAAATTGGGAAATAATGTACGGTAAACTGAGTATAGTAGAGAGTAGACTAGCCTTGAACTGTGCTACACAGAAGGGCATCAGCTTTCTCTCAAAGTCTCCAATACATATCATAACTTGTGAAACAGTGCACCTCCTTGACCAAATACCAATATCCAATAAAAAGACTACACTTGCTTATGTTTCCAAGTTCTACCATTTACATATACAGGAAATTCTATAAAATCTAAATCTGTACTCTATATATTGGACTCAATGTACTGTGTCAGGATCTGGTAGCGATAAAAGAATAAATTTTGCTATATCGAAATCTACAACATTTTAAATCCGTTTACTCGTATTCTAATAGTACACTACAGTACTGTGAGTACTGTTTGTGCAAGCGAAAAAATCGATCCGAAAATAAAGACGACTCGAGTGACTCTTCTAGATCAACTACTGTCAATGTTAACTTCAATGTTTCCTTAAAACTTACCTGAAACTACCATAGCTTCATTTGGACCACTAGTTTCAAAGAATACCATGGTTGCGTGATATTAGGGGCTTGCAGTGTCAATAAGTAATTTCACAACAAAATGGCGATATTATCCTATTCCAGTACTGTACAGCAAGTGTACGCCAGAATCGTGTCAAAACAGTCGCTAAGGGGCACAAACGTCGCTACTAAAGTACCACCGAATTCAAGAACGTACAGTACAGACAGACGGGACAACATGGACTGGTGCGATACGGTACAGTAAACAGCAGCTGTAAACTAATCTTCATGGTTCGGTACAATAAGGGCCAGCGGGGTAAAAAAGAAAAAATGAATATCAATTAATTATTACTGTATTTTTCGGCTTTCATACGTTGTACTGTACAATTCTGTGGTCAGGCAGTTTTAATGAAGTACTTGGTACAGCATAGCTAGTTTATAGCTCGTAAAGAGAAAAAGGTCTTAATAGTTTATTACATAAACCAATAACCATAGAGTACAGTATATGGAGTTATTGCAGTAGCCTGGAGTACTAAGCTGAACTCGGGTGCAGGAGGGGTTTCTTGCCGAACTTTCGTATCTAGTATACTGTAAGTAGTCCCCGGTTTATGTCTATGTAAAGTTGAATGCTATAGTATGCGGTCTATTACTGTATTTTTCGGCTTTCATACACTGTACTGCACGATTCTGTGGTCAGGCAGTTTTACTCAAGTACTTGGTACAGCATGGCTAGTTCATAGCTCGTAGTAAAGAGAAAAAGGTCTGAATATTTTGTTACATAAACCAATAACCATAGAGTACAGTAACCTGAATTCGGGTGCAGGAGGGGTTTTATGCAGAACTTTCGTATCTAGTATACTGTAAGTAGTCCCCGGTTCATGTCTATGTAAAGTTGAATGCTATAGTATGCGGTGGAGAAACGTAATTTAGTGAAAAACTTGTCTACATATGTCTAGATCCCTTCCTAACGATTGACATTGTTCAATTCTTAAAAAGTACAGTCTGTACTATTAACAATTCTAGTAAGCTGCGTTATGAACCGCATTACTTGAGCATTCATTGTCCCTTTTCCTTTGGTAAAATAACCGCAGTTATACAACAGTGAGAATGAACTAATCTTTTTTATTTTGCTTTGGTTACATTACATTATAAAACATGAAATCGGTAATATTCTTAACGGTTCGATTTAGCCACACGTTCCAATTCATCTTTCTTCTTGATGGCATAACTATTGGAAGAACCCTAGAGATTGCAAATGCAAGTGACAATCATGTTAGTCCATCATAATACTTCCACAGGAGAAACATTATATCGATGGCATAATAACGTATTCCTAAAGTATGTGTATTCGCTAGACTGTCGTGGTAGTCAATGACTTGCATGAATAACATTCAGTTGTTTATGTGTCATCCAAAAGGGCATAACGCTATGATAATTAAAATGTTACGAACTACCACCATCCAATGGTCATAGTTTGATCACTTTTCTAGCCATTATATCACATCAATTTATACATGAATACACGCAAAAGTACTACATAAGTCAGCTCAATTTTAGAATACGTTACCTTGGCAGCGTTTATAAGCTCGTCAGCTAAACATTCGGAAATTGATTTTAGGTTTCTAAATGCAGCTTCTCTTGCTCCAGTACAAAGCAACCACATGGCCTGGTTAACGCGTCGTAATGGAGAAACGTCAACTGCTTGACGTCTAACAGTACCAGCTCTTCCAATACGGGTAGAATCTTCGCGTGGGCCACTGTTGATAATTGCATTCACTAGAACTTGCAAAGGGTTCTACAAATATAAACCATAAAATTATTATCAATGACTACATTATAGCGTGACTTGAAATCACTATCTTTACGCTTTCCGATGATAATATCATTAGTTACTAACTTCATTGGTTAAAAGATGGATAATTTCAAATGAGTGCTTGACAATGCGTACAGCCAATAACTTCTTTCCATTGTTGCGTCCATGCATCATCATAGAATTAGTTAAACGCTCGACGATAGGGCACTGCAAGTTGAACGTGCGAACGAGATTACGAACTAGCAAAATTTGTCGAGAAATTCAAAGCTATAGAACACCGTCATTTGGTCTACCTGTGCTTTTCTAAACCGTTTAGCGGAATAGCGACCAGAAGTATGTGGAAGATAAGTAGCATGTCTCTCCTTGACAGCAATATAATCCTATATTGCAAAAATAAGGTTTATTATTTTTAAATCCAGACTCCCAGGGCTAAAGAAAGCTATTGAGCTTAGATTGAGGCAATCGCTTCATAAGTTGGGACATGTCTATAATTATCGCTAGAGCTGGTTAAAATAATATCATGTCCATTATGCAATACATACATTCAAGCTGATATCGCCAATTTGTACATCATCGGTGCTCCATTTACCGAAGAGCTTGACTTCTTGCGGCTCAGCAGCCGGCAGCACAATTTCTGTATCAACCATTTCGTAGTTTCAAGTTATGGCTATATGAATAGGATACAAATACACCAGAAGAGTTAATAAACTAAAAGTAATCCGTTGGTCGTATCTTAGGCTAGCTATTTGATAATATTGGACAATTGATATGCTATACAATTTATTATATAACTTAAATCCGACCAAGGGTTATAAGTATACATCAAACAAGTCAAAATCTAAAGGCCATCAATACTACATATTACTAAATTGTATAAAGAAAGGTTGAAGACAGCACCGTAATGATAGGAAAACTGCTGTTCGTCATTAGGTTTAGTTTCAAAACTATATTTGTTAGTAAATTGACCTTGATTAGTGTGGTCTATTGAATGACTAATATTTCATTACTTTATAATTTCAGGTTTATATGTAGAGTAGAATCGTTGAAAGCTGAAGCGCTACTCTGGAATCAGCGTCAAGTAATTATCCTTTTAAGTAAGCTAACAACCAGAGTACAGTAGAAGAATTAGGCTACATCACATGTTCCAACGTAATTGCTATATGATGACCACTGATTAAATAGTAGTCCGTTGCAGATAGATTTATCTAGGCCTAAGGATTACGTATAGTGCTACACAGCAATAACCTAGCATTTTAATTTAAAACGAGGCATATCTTCTTCGCTCAATATATTGAATTTTAAGCGTCCAATCTACATTACCGACTACAACTAGTAACTTCTACACTCTAGAACAGACATGTAATGTGGCTAGGAGGATTTTACAATTTAGTAATAATCCATTGTAAAACAGGTAATAGCAAGTTTAATAGCAGTAAGAGTTGATAGTAGAGTAATACACAATCTTTTTCACATGTAGACAAATTAATAATATTGAACATTTTTACCAATAAAGCAAGTACAATCATCAGAATCCGATCATGGAGTCGTCTGTACATACCTTTTAGAAGAAGAGGGATCTTTGAGAGCCCACGAGGACTAATATACTGGGGTGACTGCAGACTCGTGGACCTTCAGGGGCAGTTGCGATTGCGCAGTAGAGGTCGCGATGGCCACAAGCAAAACACCACGCATTGGCAGGACCAGGACCAGTGGGTACAGACGTACAGTACAGTACGATAGCAGTTAATTTCGACAAGGATTTGTAAGAGAAAGTTCTGTCTATTATACTGTATTATTAAATTAGGGAATGCTCTCTTATTAACAAGTCCCTGATTTGGATGCCAATGCTGATATTTACAGTTAAGAAATCGACAGAATGCATTCGCTCAGGGGCAATTTGCTGGTACATAAGCACCGTTCAAAATTATATTTGAATTATTAGTAAAACGATATAGATCATAACGGTCTGAACCGAACCGAACCTTTCTCAGGTCTAGTAAAACCCCGCCGTTCGTTCTACCGTACACTTTGACTACTGTATGTACTTACACTTTTTATTGAATAATACAGTATTAGTTGAATAAATGATCGTTACATTTCGAGTTAGGCAAAGACAGAAATAATAGCCTTATATCCAATTCTAAATATCAGCAACTTTGCAAAAATGATACTGTATTCTGACAAAGTATTGAAGTATACAGTAAATATAAGAATATAGTGAACTGGTGAGAAGGGTTTTGACAAAATACTACAGTGCATCATCGACACTCCCCCACCAGTACAGTACAGTACTGTACTGTATACTGTACAGTACACGATACAGTACTGTACAGTACTGTATCATGGACTCGCTCTTCTCCATCTTTGAATGACATCATCCTCGATACTGTAGGCTACAGTACTGTACTGTAATAGCAATTGATGTAAACCTTCAAGTTAAGATAAAAACATAAGAGTGCTAACTACTGTATCTACAGCCAATACAGTACAATGGTACAGTAGAGTATACTGTACAGTACAGTACAGTATAAGCAGCTGGTCTATTTAAACCTTGTACTAGAAGGCAGATCATCAAAATAGAGATCATGCCTTTATTTAAGTCCAAAAAACAGCAAGAGAAAAATGAAGAAGCAAAAAAGAAAGTACAGAAGCGATTGTACTTGGTAATTTTGAATACTGTTCACTGCGGCTTATTACTTTAATAACTAAGACGATTGTCATTTGATTATCATTTATTACTGTCAACTTTATCAGATAGAAGATACTGTAAAAACGCCTTTCGACTTTTGTAATTAATAACCAAAACATACTGTACTAAGTAAAGGTGGCTCGACTAGCATAGAGGCTATGCAGGGAGTAACTAAAAGACGATACTACCGCTATCGAGAAGATTGTAGGTTTTACTATTAGTTATCAATCATGATTAATCACTTCTATCCAAAGGTAGAGATGACTATTATTAGTTCTCAATTTTTGTAATCAATCAGACACTGTTGTAAACACGTACTATATACTGTATAGTAAGTAGATAAGTAAATAAATACGTCGTTATACATTGCAATAGCTATACGAGTAAAGAATTTCATCGACTTTGTATGGATTGTACTGCGTACCTATACATTTGAGGACAGTACGAAACGAGTAGTTTAACATATAAAACGATGATACCCTATGTGCGTATTATGTTGACATGGATCAAAAATGATCGCCGTTTATCTTGCTGATCTACTCTAGACGATAAGACGACTAGCTCATTAAATGGAATTATATTGTAGATAGTGACTTAAACTGCACAGGATTACACCCTAATGTATGTGCGTATTATGTTGACATGGATCAAAAATGATAGCCATTTATCTTGCTGATCTACTCTAGACGATAAGACGACTAGCTCATTAAATGGAATTATACTGTAGATAGTAACGTAAACTGCATAGGATTACACCCTATGTGCGTATTATGTTGACATGGATCAAAAATGATAGCCATTTATCTTGCTGATCTACTCTAGACGATAAGACGACTAGCTCATTAAATGGAATTATACTGTAGATAGTAACGTAACTGCATAGGATTACACTTGCCTTTGCAAATCATGATTGGATAATATAGCGATTCTACTACGGTATCTTTAGAGCTTTTTCAAATCGAAATTGATTCAATTCAATGAGTATACTGTAAGAATGCCGGATAGTATTATTGATAAGATGGCTTATACTTTACTGTACTATATGGTACAGTAGCAATAGAATAGTAGTTATGAGATCAAATATCTCCATTGATTTTATGTTAGCGTTAACTTGTGAAATAATACGCGTATTCGTTTATTATAAGCTAATATTATAAGTATCAAGTACTGTAGGTACGAGTGCGGCATACGTAATAACTACGTAACTGCTTTACTGATCACGATTTTGGGATTTGTTACGCTATAAAATTGATATAATATCATTTTCCTATTTACAATAATCAACAATTAATAACGAATAAGTTCGACAGTAGTTAGATATTATGTTATCCAGCCAGTTTGGTTGGTACTGATGCACATATATTCATTCATATTTTAAATTTACTTCCATGTCTGAAATAGGCCAAGGAATCTCCGGAACCGCTTGTCGATTTATCAGAATGTGAATTAACAGAGGTTATTAAACGCATACATCTAAAATCGCGTAGATAGTGACTACTACTGTATGATAGAGTACCTGCGTAGAGTATCATGAATTTAACTCATAGTGAACTGTAAATTGAAGTAAAGTATGATTATATAATTCATGTTACAGTATTCCGAGAGTCTCTGTCTTGCAAATAAATTCTATCATGGAATTGATATAATGATGAGTTGTATTGAATATATACTCGTACAAAAGTACATGTAACGCTTGATGCAATAGAAATAGGGTTAAAAATAATTATAGTCTGTTCGTTAAATTCGCTTATTATTTATACTTTATTGCCTTCGACTCAGAAGTCGCAGCTTAACTAGTATTGAGGAATTGAAGCAGAAGTTCTGAGTTGGTATATTTCATAAATATGAGACATTGTAGTCTATTATCACAGTTTATTATGGTATGCTTTCTTAGCAATTTTATACTGTTAAAATATTAAAATAATGAATTATTAAACGTCTTGCCTATGCTAGAGTGCTAGAATTACGTGAAAGAATATCAGATATACAGATAGATTGATACCTGGCTACGTTTGTAGCTATGTCCCACATATTGATTCCTGTAATGCTCTTTGAGATAGGCGTACGAAAATTTCGTATTGTTACAAAGTAATCCATACTCACATCAAATTTCTATCCGCAGGTTCCTTCCGGTCTTTACTCAACATGCAATGTCCTAAGAAAGGAGGTAAATATTGAGCTTTATTACTCCTAAATCTTTATCGTCGAAATATGTCTAAACCAATGTATCATAATACTACCTGTTTACATTTTATATATATATATCGTATTAGCTAATGTTCGATTCAAAAGGCTCAATTTAATAAGAAATCGATAGATACTGAAGCTTAAATTCCGTAAAGCACACCTACGTTATTCTAAAACACGTTACTACCTATACTGATGGATTTTTATTTTCTTCGATATTGTTTATTTGTTATACAATAAAGATTAAAATATATTACGCCGTTCCCAAATTTGTATAAATCTCTTGCCCGTTAGAGCTATTCGTCCATAGTGTCCCCCTTAGAGCTCAATTTTTAGTATCTTTGACTCGCTGGGCTCTTAAAGTAGCTACTTAGCGCACAGAAGATGATGAAATGTCCTCAATTAAATACTGCATATTTGTTCATTACATAATTATATGAACATTGTCTTCGCTAGTTATTAAATTGTAAAAACGATGCTGTCCTATATATCTTGAGTTGATGATTTATACCATTGTTTCACTCTACGATGAGAGCAAATTAATGTTTCGAATGCGGTTACAGTAAAGTACACATGCTTGAAATTTTCTTTTAAGTTTATAGTTTAAATCGAGCCTTACCGTGCAAACTTGTCACCATAGATAGTAAAAATAATGTAAAATTTCTACTGGTGCAATTTAAATTTTGGTGTTTTATTCGTGTTTCGAATAGAATCTGCTGTTGTATTGCAATAAATTGCGCTCGCTATCTGGTGGTGGGGATCTAAAGAATCTAGCTACAATCCGAGTAGGTGCAAATAATCGTAGAGAACTACATGAAATGTATTTAAAATTCAAATATACTTTATCATATAAATGTTGAAATTATGGTTTGTAAAGTCTATCAATATGGCATTATTTATTGTTTTACCTTGTTGTAATATATGAGCAAATTGATTCTAGGTTCTTGATCTTCACGATAATCAACTAACAAAGATCCCTGAAGGCATACGTCACATGCAGTGTTTGCAAGTAAGACGTTACGTATACCGTATAGCTTGACATAACGAAGGCTTTGTTAGACCCTTTAATATAAACAATTATTTACGAGCAAAAGTATAAAAATCATCTGTTGCATAAGTAATAACTCCCAATACCAGTATCCATAATTGCTATAATTAATCTATATAGATATTAAATTTAGAAAAAAACAAGATATCAACTATTTCCAATGAGATCGGACAACTTGTAACTCTACAAACTTTGAATATTAAAGGTATTATTTTTGTTAGGTCGGATAAGATTGTTATGGTATTATGAAAACCATCTCTAGTAGATTATCCACCTTGTGTTTTATTTTAACACTTTTAAACTAATTAATACTTTTGTGAAAATTTCGTAGATAACGCTGTTAAAGTACTAACTGATGATTTGGCGAAACTTAAAAGTTTGCGAAATTTGGATCTATCCGGAAATCCAATATCGTCGTTACCGAAAGACGTGTGCAAAATAAAATCACTTGAGGTATGCAGCTTTAAATTAAATTTTTAATGTCATAACTATGCATCATATGTGAATCTTAAACCGAATTTGCTATTCTCAATATTATAGACAATAACATTATCTCTTGATACTCTAAGCTATCCTCCAAAAGGTAATAAATAAAGTTTACCTCCGATATATTATATTGTAGCCACGGATATTTATTCACTCTTTTGATAAACCACTATCCTACACAGATGTAGCGAAACAAGGAACAGCAGCCATAATGAAATTCCTATGTAAAGGTTTGGCAAAGATTAGTTTTAATGTAATAATTTTATTGGTTCTTTCGTAACTTTAACACTGATTTTATTATGATATTTTACTCATTGCTACGAAATAAGAATGTGGTATCGATTACGTCCCGCCTTCGGCAAATATTCTTTCCGTACTAGGTAAAATATCGATCTATTAAGTCTTAGCATGCTTCTTTCTTGCTAACTGTCAAACTAGTTTTGTAACTAAATCCTTACAATTACCAATTTTAAATGATATAGATTCAGCAGATGGGATAGTTGAAGCTAAAATAAGCGGCAGTAATAAAAGAAATATTCCTTTCGAAGATACTAATGTTGAAGTAAGTGTAAATGAAATGATCTCTTAGCAATTATTACCTTGAGTAAAGTTCAAGCATAAAGAAAAGGTGTGACTTATCAAATTTATTTTAGGGCGCTTGGAAACTCTATGAGAAAGAACAAGTATGCAGAATCGTATTATTAGTGATACAAGCTACAAATAATTCTCGAATGAATGAACACTTGTATTTGACATTTCGACTCTATTAGGAAAAGAAACGTCAAGAAAGATTAGAAATCGAGAGACAATTTTTAGAATCTCAGCAAGAACAATCCAATTTAGCTGCAAAAGTAAAAAAGTCTCAGGAAAGCTTAGTAAATACTCTAGCACGCGTAAGTTCCTAAGAAAAAATAAACCAGAATTCTCCTTAAAGTAGTGATCTGTAGCCAGCATTTGCACGAAATTATTTATAACTTATTTAAATTCAGTAATCATAGATTCTTTCATGATTTGTAAATAGGAGAACGCTGATATAGAGGGTAAATTAAAATTTGAACAATCAAAGCAGACGCAATTAAAAAAGGGTTTAGTTGACCGGTTACAAACGGGTAAATAAATATTTTACAGTTTGTAATTTAGATCGGTATGTATTTAAATTCTACTTGTAATATTTATAAATTTGTATTGCTTATCCCAGAGGAGCACCATTCCTCTCAAGCTGTAGCAAGTATATTAGAAACGAACGAAAGGTATAGTATTGATAGAATAAGTATATACAGTATATTTACAAAGTGAAGTTAAGATATTTGATATTCATGCTGATGTATAAATAATCATTTTTCAGGTTACGTAACAAGGAAAATATACTGAAAAGCTTTGAGGAGGAAAGGTAATCAATTTTTAATTGGATCACTCTTAGTGTATCATATAGATTAATGATAAGGTTTTTAATACGTTATTTTAAAATATTAAATGTCTAGAAATGCCATTGAAAAACTTGTAAAGGTAACTGTTGAAGAGGAGGAAAAACTAAGAAAGCAGGAAGTCTTAGGTAATATACGCACTTGTGTCAGTAAATTCGTATATTGTAATGATTAGCAAAATCTGCTCAATTAAACCAGAAACATTTTAGTTATAATAACCTAATTTTATAGTAATTCTTTTATGGATTTTTAATATTTAAGTTATACATAACAATCTTATAGCATTATTAAATTCATTGAATAGTCGGATTTTGAAAATATATTTTTCACTTTATAGCCACCATGAATAAACTATTGCGAGAACAACGAACCTTAGAAATGATAAGAAAAGATTATGAGTCCAATAAGGATATCAGTACTCGTAAAGCATTAGAAAGGTGCTTACTTTTCTAAATTTAAAAATCAGGGCTCATAGATAAAATGTTATAAATTCTTTTTTGTACTAAAGTTCTGTTACAGATGATGAGAAAATCGGATCCTTAATAGCATCGCAAAGCCAAGGAAAATCGGCCATGATTCAACATATTGCCAACGAAGTAAGGCTACAACTATTCTGTACTAGCTTTCTAATAACTATTTTAAAGTACACTTATATTCATAAGTAATTAGATATCTTCACATTCACGTTGTAATTGTTTTGTGCGAATAACACGTTCTTATTGTGGCAATTCCGAAAGGAAACAATGCAAGTAATGGCGTTTCAGGCTCTACTATTTAGCAAGGATGCTCAGAATAGTCGTCTAGCTGGTGAAGTATGTATAATTTGAGATTGTATCTAAGGTGTAGGTACTCGTAGCTTCTTCTAATCAATGTTCGCGGTAACAGATCATGCGATTAGAAAACGAGTTGACTACATTATCAATAGAAGAGGCCAATAAAAGAGGAAATCGACAAGATACAGAAACAGTATGTACCATACTCTCCATAATATTTGGAATAAGCTATCTGATTTTAAATACAATTCCTTTTTATAATATAAGTGTTGTATAAAATTATGATAGATCTCTCTAGCTCTTAAAAGGGAAGAAACGGCTGCTTTGCTAAAACAGCTAACTGAAGAGCAAGCAAGACGCCAAGACGAACTAAAGAATAGACTAGTAAGCCTTCTATCTGAGTTGTTTTGAAATTGCTTACAATGTAAGTCACTCCTTTACTAAATATTGAGGATTAATTTTGCAACTATTACTTAACAGACTGAAATGGAACAAAGACGTGATAATGAAATTAAGGATTACTGGCTAATTCAGTATCAGCGGCTATTAGATGAAAAACCTAAAATCTTAATAGAGATGGTATTTCAGTAATTTTTATGAACTTGATATTATTTTTGTCGTCGTACATTGACAAATTTTAATTGATTCTAAACATTAGGAACATGAACTCGATGACGATGTTGTTATTGTTCTTGAGAAGGCTGGAGCTCTTGATATGGAAGTAATGTTTGCGCGCCATAAAGTTAGAGCCAGTGAACTACCAGATATGGACGATGAACGTCTCCGCCAAGTACTGCATTGCAACTTTAGATTCTCTTTCTATCACTGTCATTCGCTAAGAGAATTAATTTTTTATAATCGCTTTTTATGTTATCAATTACTTAATATTTGCGAGTAAAGTAGAGTCTAAAGCGGACAATAATGTCATGTCGTATTTTAGATTGGAGTTACTCAAGTTGGAGCGCGTATGAGCATTTTAGCAACTATACGACGTTATTACTTATCAAATACTTCCACGAACAAGACCTCAACACCAACCAAAGTTGAGATTATTTTTTGTTTGCTAATTTGTGGATACATGCATTAATACTTCTGTAACTGAATAATGCTCATTGAAATAATTTTCCTGGTAGTCTGGGTCTTCATATGCAACTCCTACAGCAACATCTGATTTGAGCGCAGAATGTTCGATTTGCATGGATGCACCGGTAATTTCCCGTATTTGATAAAACTTCGACAGCCATAGAGTAAAGTTCTTTTATTAAGTCGTAAACTATTGTTTTGTAGGCAAATGTTGTGTTTCTGGATTGTGGCCATGTATGTACCTGTTTAAAGTGTGCTGAAGCAATGACTCACTGTCCAATATGTCGACAGCTGATCATACGAAAAATCCGAATATTTGCGACGTAATTATGTTCTGTATGATATCTCTAGATTCAATGTTAGGGTTATCATTAAATACGTGATGATTAGATTGTGGGTAACTGAATGTCCACAAGTTTTTTCTTTAGTTTTCAACATATTCTTTTCCCTTCATGCTTTGTAAGTACCTGAAGATGCTATACGAATATAGTATAATTATAATATATTAATCGAAGGCTATCGCATCAAACTCTTTTTAAGTTTTGGTTTTAAATTAAATTAAAATATTCTGTTCTCCTTCTACGATACTTTTCAGTCTATACAGCTGCTTGGCCAAGGATATTCGTATTAATATCGATATGATTATCATCATATTTGCACTGTAATAGCTTGATGAGAATTACTGTATTCCTATTAGTTACGTAATGTGGATCATAAATAACGATGAATAAAATTCTTTCAATTTTCAGCCTTAAATCCAACTTTCAATGCTAGTCTTATGTATTAGATTGTTATTAGACGAAAATAATTTCCTGGAAGTTACAGTGCATGACTCAAAAGAAGTTCCTAGTCTAACTTAGAGTACAATACATTGGTTATGTTACTACTTATACAAGTTTGCAATGTTTGGTGCAAGCACATACCCAAAGGAAAGGTATTTTTTCAATATTTTATTGGACAATACTATACCGGGGGAAAGATAACTGCAAACACGCTACACTTGCTTTTACGCTAGGCAATTGGGTATATCTAACAAAATATGCATGCCTATGACAGGAGAAGTACAATAACGTAATGTCATCGCAAGTACGTGTTTCTAGTTAAATCAATTCAGGTTGACGATGCTCGAATGACTGTGGTATTAAGCGAAATCGATTTGTAACAGTATCTAAATTATCGTTTTATGCAATTCTTATATTCATACCTAAGTATTTGGTAAGTAATATTAGGCAATTTCAAACAGTTACTACTAACAAAGTCGTCATGATTAAATACTTTGAAATTTAATGCAAGATATCTTCCTCTAACGCAAGTTTACAGTAATCCAACAGGGTAATGATATGCAACAATAATATCGAGTATCAGTATGAGGGTTGAGCCAGAAAATTGGGATTAATAAATTCAGACCATATCAAAACGTCTTACTTCGACATATAGCAACAAATCACGAAAGTCCTTCTATACTGCATCCACAAATCTGAAAATGATCAACGTTTATGGAGACTTAAATCGATCAGTTCCATGCTCTCAAATTTGACTAATACATGCACGGTATCTCCAACGTAGACCGCTTATGCAGTACAACAATATATTCTGTACAAAGAATCAACTTGAATGACAAAAGCTAACATTAACGCGTAATAGAAGGTGGTCAATAAACAATTTTAAAGTTGATGATGTAAAATAAATGCAATAGCATGTAATAAATCTACAGAGAACAATTTAATAGCCATTTCATTACTAAATTATAATGCAGACATCGATGCTACTTGTGAAGGATGGCCGATCCAGGTTTACTTCCACTGGTTGTACGTGGCTGTCCCTGAGATAAAGAAACTTGTTGGCTACGGCTACGTGCCGCTGCTTGATACTGTAACTGATAAGCAGTTGGATGAATTTTGAATCCAAATATCCTAAAAATTGAATAATGCGATTAAAAAAGTTTATAATTCTTATTGACACGGAGGTATATAACAGCATTTTATTCCTTGTTTGTTAAGTGACAACAGGGGAGTAAAATCATTTACCTTGGTACATATTGGGTATTGCTTCGTTTCGGTCGATATTCTGGATGTACCATAAATAGCATATGGGGAAAACTGGTACCGAAGTAAGCACCATCAATATCTGTTAAAAGCAATTAGGGAAACTAACTAATGAAATGTTGAGAATCGCTTTTAACAAAGCTCACTATGGGAATTATAAACCTGAATGCGTGATTAAGTCTTTAACCAACACATACGGTAAATAGCATAAAAAGGATACGATGATAGCGTGATGATTTCGGTGTGTAGACGTCTTGGCATTTAGGGCAGTATAACTTCAACATTGATTCCCCAGGAATATCCGATAATCCCACAGGTAACATGGGCTGATTCTCACAATAAACACGACTACAATGACCAAAATCACCTTGTTGATATTTTTCAAGCTGCTCACCCAGGTAAAACAAAAATTGTGCAGGATTAGCAAGATTTCCTTGTTACTGTGGTATACGAACTCATACATTTACGAGTTATCTGTTGCTAAAGGTATTGGCTTGGCTACCTTTACTAGCGCCGCACTGTAATATACTGTAGCTGCTTTACTGTATTCTAATGATTTACAAGTTAAAATTAATGGTAATTATTGCTTACCATTTGAGCTAAACCGCGATTTGTCATAATATATCTGGCATGAATTAAGCCATAGAGCACTTCAGCAGCTTGTTCAATCACTTCACTTTGAGCAGGATTATCTTCTAGGTCATCATCTGATTATCACCAAAGGGTAATAACTTTAGTAATTTCAAAGCAATCAGTGACTTTAACTTGTATAGTATATGCCGAATCTATAATAGTGAATTACCTGGTTCTAAGTCTAATATCATATCCTGAGCTTGTCTGTAATGAGGGACTTGCTCACTTAGACCAGTTAAGTTAAATTTATCTTGAATATAGTCTTCATCTACCTAAATAGTGCATTAAGAAAGTGCATATAAAGAGTTTCCGCTAAGTAGAAAGATTGACAAGATAAATGCAGCGCTGCGTGTATCTCCTTGATCGCTTGTATGATAAATTTAATACAAAATGATATCAAGTAAGTAAACTACTTATTAGTTGCATACTACAGTATAATGATTGATCATGACGCAACCAGCATGTACTAGTCATCCTTATTAACAGTAAAAAAAAGTGGATTGCACCCATGGCAGTGTTAGTGTTGAAGGTTGGCTTCTATCATGATATACATCAGTATAAGATCACTATTATTTATAATTAATACAAATCAGCGTTGATCGGTTGACGTGTAGGTCAACACTATTACGTACAACTGGAAATGCCACTATGGTTGTTTATAACGGTATCTGTGATAATTTAAAAGAGCCCCCAATGCACCTGTACAGTGTTTTTTTCTATTACGATCTAGCAAGTATGAAATGCCTTACCTCGCAAAAAAATTCATTACCACGTAGTCCGCAAAACCAAGATATCCAAGATACTTCTTCCGAGCTACTCATTACCTATTGCCTATAAGTTTCAGTTTGACAATAAAATGAATTTAACATGATATATCAGCAAAGTAAAGTACAGTATATTAACGTCAGCCCCCAAAATATCGCGGGCAAATGAGTAGATTATTCGGAAAGCATAGAGTTAGTTGAATTTGAAATACGTTGTGTTTGATATGCGTGAATTAAAGTATAGTATATATATATATATATATATAAAGTAAGTTTTCTACTTCAAAGGGTTATTCATTTATACGGCAATAGTGCATTCAGCGCAAGAGAGTTCCATTTACATCAAGAAATGGAAACTCATTTTCACACTATAATGTCAATTGTAGCCACGAACTTGTTGACTAAGTTCCAAATTGATGACGTACTTTATCGTCTAATGATAGTGCAGAGATGATTTTTCCTGCTTCAAATGAAAATTAACCATACAGTATACCATTTATTAAGGTAAAATAAGTCAAAACAACAACATATCAGCGTTCAAAATCAGTAGTGAAGGCTTGTGTGAGTGTATATACTATAGCAGTATACGGGTAAAGTCTCTTCTGGCCATTGGTAACCCCCCGTTCCCTTGGAAAATAATCTTGTAATAGCTGCAAATTCTCCACTATACTGAGAAAATCTCAGTTGTTTGCGCCTAGTAGTTTGTCATGCACCACTTTGACTTTCCACTAGTTCCATGCTTGGATATGATATGTACAGAAGGGTCAAGTCAGTGAAAATGTAAAGGTTGCAAAATGCCTGTATGGTTGTCGAAATAGTCCAAGTAGGATTGATTGCATTACGACATTCAAACGTATCCTAAAATTGATCGGGATTCTTGCACGGTGTGTGACATGGCAACGATATGAAAGAGTAACGTTACTACCGTATGGTACTGTAGTGGCTATCCAGTCAGTGTATAGGATGATATGGACGTTTCGATGTCTTGTGTAACATCGAAATTGAATGTCAATTTATCTTGTCAATGCTGTTTTTCCACATCCTAAAGCGTCTATCGTTGACCATGGTAATTTCGTTAGAGCCATACTGTTATGATTTTCCTTTCTATCGACTATCTAGGTACCAATCCAATAATGGCTGCCCTCTCCACTAATATTGTGATGGATGACATTGACTTCTCTGTACCGGTTGATAGGCGAGCGTCCGACGGAGCCATCGTTACTATGATTTTATACTGTAGGTTGCGACTTTATGGAAGATCGCTAACTGTACTGTACATGACTGTGGTTCAACATTTTACTCTAGCTGTTAGTCTGTATTCCTCTTGTATAAAGTGATGCATTCAATTGGAATGGTAGAATTAATCAATTTACCTGGCAAGGATGACAATTTCGAAATAAAGGATAGAAGAGTCCAAAATGAAATATGGCCAACGCTGCTAGGCACTATCATACAGTGACAGACTGGCTAATAGTGTGACTATATAAAGAGAAGCAGCGACAACGACTTGTATCAGTTGGTGGTACAGGACTGGAACGTCACCGCTGTTGGATGTGAAGCACAGGAGTGAGAAAAAAGAGAGTGAGCCTACAGTGGTGTTGAAGTACCGTGATAGGAAAGCTCATGCACGCTTGAATTGGCGTAGTATTCCCTTGTACTTTCATATGTGAATGGAACGTCTTAGTGGTTTTACTTTTGCTACATCGAGGTCAACCATAGTTACGTGGTTACAGCTAGTGACAGCATACAGAGTTCGATTGATACTCATACTGCAGTACGTACCTTCAATAAAGTCAACTTGTCGAGAGATAAAAAAGATACGGTACTGTACGGTATGATGCAAACAACAAAGGCCGCAAGTTTTTAGTACTGCACGGTAATACAGTACAGTGTACAGTACAGTACACTGTACAATACACTACAGTACAAATTACAGTGCATCGTATTGTAGTCCACTGATACAGTATCAACTGCAGTACTGTAGTCCAAGACCACCGCATCCGACATGCTCATTTCATAAAGAGCGCGCGTAAAATCTCAGCTTACACGGTGAACTTAGGCTAAAGTGGTCGCTATCAAGGCATCAAGTGGAACCTTTCTCGCGTTATTTGACGGTATAAAGCATTCAACATTGCTATTTTAAGACTTACTTTCAAAGTTTGTTCTCATTTTATTCCTAGAATATCTTTAAATCATGGAAATTTCGATTGTAAACTAGAGTTCAAAATAATAATCATTTGTTATCATTCAATCAGTTTATTTTACTGTTGGTAGTGATGACAGTTTAGGGCCTTCCTAAAACCTTTCTAGTAGCCCATGTTACAGTCAATCTCCAATGATGGTTCTAGTAGGGATAAAGTTCCTGGATAGATACAGTACAGTTCTATGCCTGCAATTTGCACCACCGTAGCTCTTCAATGTAGTAGTATTGTAGCCCTAAAAAATACAACCCATATCATGCAATTTGCCTTGGTAAACTTTCTTCAATGGTGCAATATCGCTAGGACAGGGCATGGACTCATTTCTTCAAAGAAACCTTCCATACTTCGTTCTACTTTTGTACTGATAGTACTCAATACCTACAGTAGTTTCTTTCCATAGGTTGCCATAAAGTCAAAGCACACTACTGTGCTTCAAAGGTGTTTGAATTGGAGGCCATAAATATGTCCGTAATCTTTCTATGGTTTTGCATTGAGTGTACAATGGATATTGGACATGCAGTAGATAGTTAGGTGCATTGTACAGTAAAGTTCAAGTTGCCTACGCTTCTAATATACCTATGCAGTACAGTATGAGGGACTTACCTACCTAACTGTTGCAACAATTGAATTCTACAAGTAGAATATCAAACATGGCATGATTAAACCCTATGGTTGGTCAAATCTTACTTATTTTACTGTATTCTTTTGTCCTTTAGCTTTATAAAAATCAGAAAACATGGTAGAGCGTCCGGAAGACCTGAATTTACCTATTGCAGTCATAACTCGAATTATCAAAGATTCGGTAAGCTTTACTGACCATATGATAGAGAAGTACTTTTTGGTATGGCTGTACTTGGAAGATAAAACTACACATGCAGTATATACTGTAATACATTACAGCTATCCATGAAATCTTCTAAATGATATACAGTATAGCTCAATTTGCTCTGCCATGAAAGGGTGAATGAAATGTCACTTATCACCTGCAGTTTATTCAGTATCTATGTTTATAGAAGGGAGTAATCGTAATGGATTATGCTCATCTTGAAAATGGAATATCTTTCCTCCTCTTTACAGTTACCGGATGGTGTTAATGTCTCCAAAGAAGCACGTATTTCTGTCTCCAAAGCGGCAAGCATTTTTATATTATATGCAACATCATGGTATCCTTGCATAAATCCAAATATGAACGTCACAGATTTGTATTGATGCTGATGATATTGTACGTTATTACTGAACTATTGTACTCCATTCGTTTTAATGCATAGTTTTAGTTTGTCATGAAGCGCAAATTAATTATTTCCTTAGTAAATCTATCTATTCTGTAGAATAGAGTCGTTCAGTGTTGTTTGTAAATCTGCTACCGTTACTGCATTAGTAGATAAACTAGATACAAAGGTAAACCTGGAATTGATGTATATTTCACTTGATGAAGTGAGTGCCTATACTGGATATGGTAATTGTATCTGGACTTAGGACTTACGGTAGTAAAGTATCACTAGCAGATACAATAACGTTGTGACTACACCATAATTTCGATGTACGGTATAAACTTGCCTGTGCTAGCTTTTCGACATAATTGCGGTAATGTAAAGGAAAAGAATCTAGATCTATTACACAGTAAATTTACATGTCAAGAATATCACCGATATCAAACAAACTTGATAGATTTTTGTTCCTATGTTTAGTTCAATATGCTTAGTATTAATATAGCTGATGAGCGAGTTATTAAGTCAAAATCGTTTATGAAATATCAGGATGAAGTTGCTCTTTGTCGGTATTGATATCGTTATTGTAATGTGAGTTCATCGGGTTACCTACCCTTAACGAATGACTCTACCGATAGTGCGAATAACTTTGCTTTAAAAGCCAAGCGAAAGACCCTTGGGGCTCCTGATATCTTCGCAGCTCTGGAAGACATGGAATTTGAAGAGTTTATTCCTAAATTGAGAGAATATCTAGAAGGTTAGAAATAAAGACGCATCTTGATAAGTTCTTGTTATGATAGCTTGCATTTGAAGGTCGGACTGAATAAGCACATACAAATTTTGAAAAAGTATTCGTGTTACTAAATACTGACAATATTAAAATGAACAAGCAATGTGCTAAGTTTCTACATAACTAAAGTTTTCAGAAAGGAGCAGAAAGGGAAAAAGGAGGCGGCTGCGGATAAAAAGCGTATGAAAGAGATATCAAAAGCAGAGGACCAAGGTTAATTCACAGCCTACTTAATACAGTATATTAGCTATCAACTTCGAATTCTGATTAATTATCATTACCTGATCTTACGAATATGGTTAAATATCTTCATCTTAGACGAAAAGGAAGCTGATGAGGATGATGATAATAATGATAATAATGATGATGATGACGATGATAATGATAATGATGATGATGATGATGACGATGATGATGATGATGATGATGAAGAGGAAGAGGAAGAGGAGGAAGACGACGTAGATGAAAATATTGAAGAAACCAGCGTAAAAGAGAACAGTGTTGAAGAAGATACCGAATTAAAGGAAAACAGTACTGAAGACGAATAACTCAAGTTATTGATAACCTGACTTTGGATCAATTTGTAATGAAAAGTCTATAAAGTGCGAGCTAGTTTATGTAATATAATGAAAATGTAAATTATTATCACAGCTGAGATAAGGGGCGGCGATGCCACATATTCCGGCTATCATATGTTTTCAGTAAACATCTAGAATTTTTAATGTTTTATTCATTTCGTATATACCATATACTGTATTTCGTGCAACTAATATAGTTGCTATAAATGAAAGACGGAAAATAATCTATTAAATCGTAAATTATGTAATTAATTGACACTTTATTGCGTCTTTAATGTTAATACAATCACCAGGTTTAAAATACCCCTCCCTGCTTTACTGTACTGTAGTTACGCCATACTTTGCGTCTATTCGTTTAAAGTAGTATACAGTATGTCACTATCAGTTACATTCTAGAATTGCATTTATTTACGTACCTAAAATGTCAATAATTTGATTCGTCTCGACAATTGAAAGCAAACACGTAAGATCGTAATCTCTAAAACGATTGCAACCATGTTGTTAATGTCTGCGTATACCTTTACAAGATCTACAAGCTAATGCATTTAGCTTCGACTGGATCAACGATAATGTCCAACTGAATTACTGGATATGCGCTCGTTTTATGCAATAATATGACAGTCTACTAAATTAGCATCTGTATAATTATGAAAATGCTAATCTACTGTTAAGAAATCATGAAAGATCCATGGTATAATGATCTTTCCGGTATGACCTTGTCCAAAAATTGCTGAAAATCAGAAGATAGCATGTTGACAGCGCAAAAAGTGCCTTGATATACTTAATGCCCTTTTCGATCTTAATTTTTAACTTGAATACAAAAAATAATGAAGCATCGCTTGTGAAGATATAATCAAAACTTTATTGTAACAATATTTTCATACCAGAGGACAGTAATTAATTTTATAAATAAATATGCTACTCTTAGACTTAGTGAGCAAGGACTTCAATTATGACAAAGTTGAATTCATTTCACTGATAACAACGGTAAGCAAATTTAATCAAGATATTGTAGCACTACGTTTTACTATCAGCGAGCATGTAGCATTTAGGGAAAATTGACTACTATGCAAAGTAATTCATTCGTGTACTAAAAATTTATAAACTCAGAAACAATGATATGTTATGATGGTTTCCAATTCGGCCACATTCGAAAGTGGGTATAACCAGGTATATTTGCTAAATGAAAACCGGGTTCAGTGTGTTAAAAAAGTTTTTCCAAAACGGAGTCATAACAATATCAAGTTATTAGCTGTATAAAAATGTAATCTTGCACATCAGTGCTAGCATCATAAATGTACATACAAAGAGCGTCCACTCAAAATCAAGCACGATCACTGTTGATGCACTCCGGCATTTATTGCTACAACAGCGTTCGAAATGACTCGCTGAGACTTGGTCATTCATAAGCTGTTAGTAAGATCATACACTAGCTACATTTATTGCTGAAAGCACATGCTGTACTCTAAAATCTCTACAAATGACCATAGCTTCGCATGAGGTTACTGCACAATATTTCATAGAAAATATCGCAATACCATATTATAACTAGGCTGGCAAATATTGCAAAAGAGGCCTTATCCCGTTCTTAGAATGATATGGATACCGGAGTCAGTAAAAACTGGTTCACTCAATTCTCCAATCTGCAAAGCGTACCTAAACATAGGACGAGAAAAAACATCTATGAGTAAGCGCTTCAGTCTGTGAGATCAAGTCTATTTCATTGCATCAAGTTTGATTAGTGAAATTCAATACTAAAAATGAAGCAGTAGTCTAGTCTAGGCTTTCCCATCAAGGGGAGTGCGAGTGAAAACGGTCAACTAATAAAATTGAGAAGACTTTGATGGCATCACTGTAGTGCATGAGCTTTGCGCTACCGCACTCTATGTCTGTAGGTGGATAAAGAAAGAATCTAAATGCTATGAGTGCAAATACTGTACAATATGCAAGAATTGTATGGGATTACATTATTGAACTGATAAACAGTATTTACTGCTATACTGCACGAAATACTCGCATACTTACGTTGCATCCTCGAATGGCTCTATCGTATCATACGGGTAAAAGAAAAGAAAAAGTTATCCGATTGAAAATGAATCTTTTAATACGATTTCAATATAGTGTGAAATATTGGGACTTACTTTGCATCTGACCTCGACCAAAGAATCCTAAATCGCCTTCTTTCCTTGCACTGCTACAATCACTCATTTCGAGCGCCAATTGACCTAAGGTAATCTCACCGCCTACGATTTTCTTTCGGTACTCTACAACAATATTGTAGTACAGAATGTTCAATACTACTGTACTATATTTGGCCAACTGTCACAAGACAGCAATACTCTAGCGTAGAATCAACAATCATTTTAGGATCAAGCGCATTAGTCTAGTCATTGATTCTACTTTTACAGCCTAAAGAAGTGATTGCAATAATTGTAGGCTAGTTGAAATCAAATTTACCCTGTATCAATTTTAATGCATCATCTTTGGAGCGAGTAATTTCATTTTGACGCCATGATGAAGGCCTGCGAGATTCGTTATGTTTTACTAGCAGATGTGAGGCACGAACCTTGTCTTCCGATGCATCCGTTGGTGGTTCCCATTGACTTTGATTGGTTAAAGTATTATAGTAATATATTTTGCCGGTGCTGCGTGATTCTCGGGTTATCCAGCCTTCTGGCAGTGAGTTTTGATCCGACATTTTTTATCCGTTGCAATTGCCAACGCTAGAGATCCAGTGCACAGACTGCAGAATGGCGAGAATGGTGTAATTACTTTTTAGTGATGGTCACTCCGCCGTACGGTGTTGAAGGGGTGTAGTCCATGCATGCAGTCTACCCTCTGTCTATTTTACTCCACGGCATCACTAAAACGTATTACTATACACTATAGACGACTGGGTATTGTTCGTAGTCCATGCATTTAACGTTGCTGTCATACCTCGCACGGTCATTCTAAGGCCTTTCGTTTACAGTACGATGCACTGTAAAAATGTACTGTAACACAGTACTGTACTGTACGGTACGGCACGGTACGGTACTGTATAAATCGCAGGCATTAAAAGGACTACCAAGTGTTCTTACACTAAGACGAGGAGAGGAGTCAAGGAGACCGAAGGAGAGTCACATACCAAGGTGACGACGAACTTCAAGCTTAGTCTCAGTGAAATTGTTCAGCAACAATTTGATTTCAAAGACATTTCTAGGTCTAAAATATCACAGGATACTAATATCTAAATTGGTCTAGCGTATTTTTATCCAAGATCTTACTGCGGTGTTGTTGATATTGAATGGAGCCAGAAACTAGCCCTAACTCTAGTGGCACTAAACCAGGTGCTGCAGACACTACTGGCAAGAAAGAAAAATCCGCTGCACAGTTAAAAAAGGAAGCAGAAAAGGAAGCCAAAAGAAAAGCTAAATTAGAAAAATTTGCTAAGAAGCAGGGGAAGCAACAAGCTGCAACGAAGCAGGGAGGCGATAGCAAGGTAAAAAAAAAATGAACTGTACGGTATTCTGCTAGAATACGAATAAGCTAGAATAGAAAATTCCCTATTACACCAATCGATTCTACGGACTTGAGTGAATACTGTTCTGCACTTTACTATAACATAAATGGCAACTATTTTCATGGACGGTTGCACATCAATTTCTGAATTAGTCAATCAATGAGCTGTTTTTACCCTTGCATCCTTGCTTATGCTATCATTCTATAGAGTTCAAGATATCTTAAAACAGACATATAATATTTACCAATTGAATCTCAACGCGGAAAAACCACGTAGTCGCTTGTGAATGACGTCGTGTTGCATCATGTCATTCAAACGAGCTTATAATACTGTACAAAGTAATTCTTCTATCATAACTACACACTAAAATAATATACCAGCTTATAATATACAGTAAATCATCTATGATTATTGCGTACTAAAACAATATACATGGATTAAGATATGTTGACGTCGTTTTGTATCATGTCATTCAAACGAGCTTATAATACTGTACAAAGTAATTCTCCATCATAACTACGCACTAAAATAATATACCAGCTTGTAATATACAGTAAATCATCTATGATTATTGCGCACTAAAACAGTATACAAGGAGTAAGATATGTTGACGTCGTATTGCATCATGTCATTCAAACGAACTTATAATGTAATCCATCTATTATACAGTATTATAATTGCGACTAAAATAATATACATAATTTGGAGTAGGATACGTTGTAAGTGGAGAGTATTTCATTCGTTTTGTGATATGAGCGTATACAGCTTAACTCATCTATGGATACATTATCTTATGGCACTTGAAATATTACTCCAAACCAAGGCCTAAGGCTTTTGCTCACGTTTAATTCATACTCTAATTACATAATTTATAATGTTTTATGTCATCTATGAACCAATGCGCTAAAGAATACTGCAAAGCCTACTAAGAAGAGAGAAGTTACTAAAATTTCTTACGATATTGATACTAAACCAGGCGAAAAGAAAGGTATTATGCAATGATTACAATTATCATGATAGCGTCTACTTAGACCATTTTGTAAACTTATATAGTTTCATCGTAATGCACTAAAAAGGAGAGATATAAATACCTATAGTAGCTGCAATGATGGTTTAGATACTTGTATCGAAATAGATTTGATAGCAAATGTCGAAATGAAACGCCATCGCATTTCATGACTGAGCTATCGTTAATACTTTAATAATACTTCTTAATAAAACTACCCCGCATAGATATCACTAGATCTCTCCCAGATAGTTACAGCCCAGCTTATGTAGAAGCCGCATGGTATACATGGTGGATGAAGGAGGTAAAATATACTGCATTGGATTGCCTATGTTGAGATTGTCATTTCAAGATACCCTATTTGATCTTAACGATTATTATTGTCCATTCTAGGGCTTTTTCAAGCCGGAGTATTATACTGTAAGTTAAAAATTGTAATATGAGCAACTGCAAACTGCTATACGATATCTTTGCAAGCGTAATGAAAAATACAGTTATTTAAGGAGGATTATCGACTGTTGTGTAGGGAGATGTATCGACTCCTGTTCCTGGGGGAAATTTTATGATCTGTATACCTCCACCGAACGTTACTGGTTCTCTACATCTGGGCCATGCGCTAATGTGCTCAGTTGAAGACTGTATAACAAGATGGTAATTTGTACTTAAAAAATTTCCGAAACCCCGTAATGACTTGATTGTCAAATTAAATTTACGATTGAACTGAATGTAATAGGCGTAGGATGAAAGGTCAAAGAACTCTCTGGAATCCAGGATGTGATCATGCCGGCATAGCTACACAAGTACGTATGTATAACTACAAAAAAAATGAGTTATAATAATGTACAGATATTGCTAGAATAATTACTAGTTTCTGATAAGTGTACCCAATCTATTCGCTTGGCTTGTTTGTATAAGCGATATATCGATTAGCAATCGTTAAGGAAGTTATCAATTGTATTACTAACATAAGAAATTAATACCGCAGGTCGTAGTGGAAAAAAAATTATGGCGTGAACGTAAACTTACAAGACATGACATTGGAAGAGAAAAATTTCTGGAAGAAGTCTGGAAATATAAACATGAGTAAGTATCTATTAAAAGACACTCCGGGTTTTTAATTTTGCGATCAATTCGAATATCTTTCACTTAGTTATTAAATCCCAATCATATTTATTAGCTATGCTCTATGTATTTCTTCTGTATTACGGTTGCACTATTTAAGTAAGACTTATCTATTATCGTAAACAGAAAGGGAGGAAGAATCTATGAACAAATAAAATGTCTAGCTGCTTCTGCTGACTGGGATAGAGCATTCTTTTCAATGGATGATGTAAGCTACTACTGTTAAGATTATCCTAATTAGCAATTAATAAAACTATACTTAATTTAAAAGTTAAATAACTTCGTCTATAATATTAGTGAGTATGGTAATTTTCGTAATTATTATTGTTCTATATTCAGAATTGCTGCAGGGCTGTTAAGGAAGCATTCATACGCCTTCATGATGAAGGAGTAATTTATAGGAACCTAAGATTAGTAAACTGGTCGTGTATCTTGCGCTCTGCGATCGCTGATATAGAGGTAGAGTGTAATATCTACATTAATTTATAAATTGGATTTATATACTGACTACAACCTTTGTAACCAATATGATATAACGCAGTAAGTTATAATCTTTCCCTGTTTACTTTCATGTGCCCACTTGCAGGTTGATAAGAGAGAACTAACGGGTCGTACTTTACTAAGTGTTCCAGGATACGATGAAAAAGTAGAATTTGGTGTTTTAGTATTGTTTGCTTATCCAGTCGAGGATTCTGGTAATTTCAATAATTTAGTAGATAAAATTGGACTATTGATTACAGAGTAACGTTCGAATTATATATCACTAGATGAACGACTGATCGTTGCAACGACGCGTATTGAAACTATGCTTGGGGATACTGCAGTTGCAGTTCATCCCAAAGATGAGCGTTACAGTGTAAGCTAATAAAAGTGCATGCAGAATATTAGCTATCTTTAATTATATGATTAGTATACTTATATTAATAAAATCGAATTGCATGAAATAGCACCTCCGAGGAAAGTACGTTTTGCATCCATTTGCTGATAGACGAATGCCCATCGTTTTTGATGATTTTGTAGAAATGTCATTTGGTACAGGTAAGCAAGTGTAATAGATCTTTTATATAACAAGGAATACTAGTATTCACAAATTCTCATTAAATTAATCCTCACAGGAGCCGTTAAAATTACTCCTGCTCATGACCAGAATGATTATGAGTGTGGAAAGCGTCATAATCTACCATTTATTGAGACGATCGATGAAAATGGAATGATAACGGATGCTTGCCCGCAATTCAAGGTACTGATATCATCTCTGTGCATTTCTGCTTAATAGCTATCTACTTGTCACATCAATAATTTCTTACTTTTATAATCCATTGTAGGGAATGAAGCGATTTGACGCCCGTAAAGCGGTACTCGAAGCTCTAAAAGAAAAAGGTCTTTATATAGAAACAAAGGAAAATCCTATGGTCGTCCCTATTTGCAGGTACCTCGATATTCATGCGCTCGTGAAAAGATCAAATAAATAATCCATGTTTGTATGATTTTAGTTAACATAACGTAATGGTATTGCTGTGATATAACTTATTATGCAAGCTTTAATTTTAATTTAATTTGGTTGTCGATAGTCGTTCCAAAGATATCATTGAACCGTTACTAAAACCTCAATGGTACTGCAAATGTGATGATATGGCTTTAAATGCTGCTAAGGTTAACGATAACAAATTAATAATATCGAATATCTGATGTAGAGTGTGCACTATACAGTACGCATTACCTGATGAATATCACTGTAAAATAGGCTGTTCGAGACGGAAGAATAAAAATAATTCCAAACATGTTTGAAAAGACATGGTTTCAATGGCTTGATAATATTAGGTAAAAAAGTTTATTCTGCACTTTAACTGGGCTAAGAAATAAGTTCAAACACAATATTTTGTAGAGACTGGTGTATTTCTCGTCAATTGTGGTGGGGCCATAGAATTCCTGCTTATTTCGTTACTATTAATGATCCTGATGTAAAAAATGGATCTGTAAGGCAGTATTATCATTTGCATAAATTAATGCGTAATTTATCTTAATTATGCTCTTATTTGTTACTGTCATGTGCCTACAGGATGCTGACAATCATTTTTGGATCAGGTTTTACTTATGATACAGATAATACTAAAGATATTTATTACAAAGTTTGATTAATTTGTAATATTTAAATTGTGCGATGTGTGTTAAATTTTTTAGTGCCCACAATGAAGATGAAGCTATGAATAAAGCTGTCAATCGTTTTAACTGTCCAAAAGAGAAGATCACCCTTAAACAAGGTCCCTTTTCTTATTTCCTAGCATTTGAGTCTTTCCTATTCTACACAGATACTTACATTACTATTCTAATTGACTGTAGATGAAGACGTACTCGATACATGGTTTTCAGCTGCACTTTTCCCATTTGCAATATTCGGTTGGCCAAATGAGGTTAAAACTTGCTGTTATCAGATTATTTATGCATAATATACTACTGTACTTGTTGTGTAAAAGTAACTTTGTGCATATTATTAGACTCTAGATCTTAAGACATTTTATCCTGGTAGCCTTCTTGAAACTGGGCATGATATACTTTTCTTTTGGGTTGCAAGAATGGTATTCTTTGGAATGAAGCTAATGGGAGATGTACCTTTTAAAGAAGTAATTAGTATATATAATAGATTGAGAATTCTTCCATGAAAATAATCAATATACATGCTTATAGATTTACTTGCATGCGATTGTCCGTGATGCACATGGAAGAAAAATGAGCAAATCACTAGGCAATATTATTGATCCTTTGGATGTTATCTCAGGGATAGGTTTAGAGGTTACGATTAATATACAACGAGATATATTTTATACTTTCATACTGCTGAAGAAAGTGCATAGTACGATATATTAACTGCAACTCGTGAAATAACTATCTTAAGGATTTGCATGAACAATTAAGAAATTCAAATTTGGATAAAAAGGAGATAGCTAAGGCTATACAGGGCCAGGTAATCAATGAAATAGAAATTGTTTACGCAAGCTAGTTCCAAAGTACTGTATTTCTCGGATCGTTACTGCCGCGCTTAACAAATAATCTAAAAATTTAGAAAGAAGACTTCCCTCAAGGCATTCCAGAATGTGGTGCAGATGCTCTAAGATTTACTCTTTTGGCTTATTCTTCCCAAGGTATTAAAACGGTCAATTTAGTGATTGTTGTTTAATCAAAGCTTACTCTTTTTCTCTTAACTGAATTAGGTAGAGATATCAATCTTGATGTAGGACGTACCTGGGGGTACCGGAAGTTTTGCAATAAAATTTGGAATGCAACGAAATTCGCTCTAAGTGTCATTGGAAATGACTTTATCCCTTCAACTCAAGTATATATAATACATAAGAAGCTGATTCGATAGACTATTCAGTCAAGAGTTATTATATCGGTCTAAAATTCTACCACCTTGTCATTTGCAGGACTTTACGAAAGCATCCTTAATAGATCAATGGATCCTTAATCGACTCAGTATGGCCACTGATGTTTGCAATATGGGCTTTGAAACGTACATATTTCAAGATATGACTACGGCTATATATAACTTTTGGTGGTACGATCTTTGCGATGTCTACATTGTAAGTAATAAAATAAATATGTAATAGATCTTTAATGAGGACATTACTTAAAAAATCTGTTTTGGCATTACAAGGAATGTTTGAAGCCAGTTTTCCAGAATTCAAACAAAGAAGCTCAAAACATTGCTCGAAATGTACTGTATCCAAAAATAGACCATTTCATCTTTTCCAATTTGCTATCTGATATTAAGTGTCAAATTTCTAAATACCGCACTTAATTCAAAATCATTAAATTACCGAATGATCTGGAATGCTTCATGTATAAAGCTTTTAATGAAGTTCAGGTCTTTGGTAGAAATATACCCTCCTATTATTTGCTTAACTCATTAATTCTTGTGCAGATACATTTGTTTAGATCATGGTCTTCGCCTACTTCATCCATGTATGCCGTTTGTCACTGAAGAACTTTGGCAGCGCTTACCTAATAGAACCAAGGATTCGCCGCCGAGTATCTCCGTCGCGAGATATCCCGAAAATGTAATTATCAAATATTTTTGCTGTTTTATATGTATTACTTAAGATTATATAAATAAGTCATTACTAAACGTCTCCTAATACTCACATAGTTATCTTGGAGGAATACGAACATTGAAGATGAAGTTAACCTTTGCCAAGAAGTTGCGCGTGTTGTTCGTTCTATTCGTACGGAATATCAAACCAATAAAACAAAAACCGATAGTAAGTATAGAAGCAGTAGCTACCATAGTAGACTTCATCGCTCTTTTTGCTTAACTGCATCTCTTTCATTAGTTTTTGTTAAATGTACAAACGAGGAAATCGCTTCTACTGTCTCGAAATACCGTCAAGAAATAACTACATTGAGCTATTCATCTAAGTAAGTTAATGATAACCTTGCCATTGCTTTCGACAACTAATGACAGCTGATGACTGCTTTGATTTGTTCAGCTTGTCCGTGATCACGACTGGTGATACACCACCAGGTTGTGCTATTAGCACTGTATCAGATAAGTGTGAAGTTCACGTTATGCTCAGGGGGATTATAGATGTTCAGAAGGAATTATCTAAGCTTAGTACTAAGCAAAGTAGGCTAAATGAACAGTTGCAAAAGTTGCAAGAATCTACTCAGAGTGACAACTACGACAAGGTAAGCTTTGATAATAATCAACCAAGGCAAGGCAGATACCCATTGTTGACAGTCACGAAAAATATTGTTCGTACATGCTACATAATCTACCGAGAATAGGGGTTATTGCTTTTAATATAATTTCTATACCATTTATTATTAGGTACCAGAAAACGTTAAAGCCTTAAACGCAGAAAAGGTACTAAAAGCTTCAGTACTTAAACATAACTGAAGTGTATTAAAATATCCTTAAGTGAGGTAGTAACTAAACAAGTTGCAAATTTAATGATTATTTGCAGGTATCTCAAATACAAGTGGAGTTGCAAAAGCTTGAAAAGGCAATTCAAGTTTTCAAAATAATAGAATAATTTTAATATATACGAACGTATCATCAACGGGTTATTTTATCTGATTTTGTCATTTTTTACATGGTACAGTATATCTATAGTATTTGAGTATATAACTTGAAGTATCCTAAAAATGAGGAAAACAGTTTGAAACTGTAGATACTGTAGGTATACTAGTAATACTACACTCAAGCCTCTTTGCACAGAGCGGAACATATGAAAATTTTATGCCAGATATACAAAATAAAAAAAAATCATACTTTAATCCCGGTAATAATCAAACCCTTTTATCATCGAGTATGAATGAAAATCGTAGTAAACGCTAGGGTACAGACAGTAAGCTACATTTATACAAAAGTAATTTGCAGAGCGAATAGCTAAAATTCTGTAATACAATTTTATACAAGGATTAAATATAGATATATAATCACACTTTCAATGTAAGATGATCATATGCTTGCACTATTTAAATAGTCAGTGAGATTAAGAAGTTGCTTGGCGCATTTATTTCGATCTTCCTGACAGTCAAGTTCGTTGTATATCATTGCCTACAAAAACAGTCTTCAACTTAATCTATACATAATACAGTAACCTACAAAAGGCTTCATACCTTCATATAGAAGACCTCTCTCAGGCCGAAATAATAGTTCCTACTTTCAAATATAGTACCCGCATGATCTAGCAGATTTAAGATGTGTCTCAGAGGTAATCTCCTGTTCGCTAATTTCCAGTGGAGCTTAGCCGTCATTGTCCAAAACTTAGCTCGCAAAATTGGTGATACTAGTAGATGTATAAAGTAAGTGCGTTATCATTTTTTGGTACTGATGGAACTGTATCCTGAACGGCACTGCACGTGTCGGATGTGTACAGTACACACGAATCGTACATACGAGTATTTACCGAAACTGGAAACTGATACAGCTATGTCATTAAGCAAATCCAGCGCAGTTGTTGACAGCCCTATTGAGAACTAATAATTATAGTTTATAATTAAATATAGATATAAATACCGATCACTCAAAAAAGTGTTATAATTTAAAGATTTAAAGCAATATAAAACTAGGTAAACCGATACTAGATATATAGAGGTTTACGTTATTCAGGTAAAATTTGACGAAGTTCATTACCTGGGCCTCAGCCAGTCCTATCATGGATGCAATCATGCTGTCAAGCAAATGGTAAGAATAAGCACAGGTTACGGATTGTAAGAAATACTCGATGGCTTTGCACGGCTGCTTACTTTCCAGATAAATTTCTCCAAGTAAACGCAATATCCTATTTCACAATATTTAATTCATTATTCTACTATATTGTATATAGGCCAATGGATTACAACTTAAATAGCGAATAAATGCATTGAGTTCAATACAATGCCGAAAGTGTACTAATGCATCTAAACTAAGGCTTTGTAGCCTAAATAAATCTCATCGCTAAGTTTTAGTTTTTACCTGATTCTATGCTGAGGTAATGTTATTAATTTGTTCCTGAGTATAACTTTGTCCTCACTGCAGAATTAGTTTGAATTAGTAACAGAGTTGATAGCAAGAACAGGCAATATCAGGACTACTTAGGCGTAAAGTTTTTGCAAAACAAGATTACTTCAAACTTGTCTTTATCTAGTTAAGTATCATCATTGCAAAATGAACAGGATATCTAGTACATACTCCGCATCTTGCAACATTTTGTAAAGAAGATTACAAGCTTCCGCAAACTGATTCGTTTCTTTCATGATAATTGCTCGACTATGGATAGGCGAAAATGTTAGCGTCAATAAATTAATTTCTTACATCGCAGTTCGACCAGAGTATTAGATATATAAGGATTAACTGTCCAAATACGATACTAAAAACCTGTAGCTAAATTCCAGGCTATCAGTCGTAGCAAGTTCCGTCGATAATGCTTTAGCCAAAGAAATTTCACCTTTCATTAGTGCATTTTCAAAGGCTAATTTCTTCTTAGATATCTCTAATAGCTTTTCGAAATAGTTCCAGTTACTACACATGCAACAGAATTGATCAATCGTTATAGATTTTCATACTTCCGCTTGTTCGGTGTGCTCAGGAAATATTGTTAAGGCGTAATCGAGAATTTTCATTGCAACGCTAGGATATCCCTAAAATTACATGTACTTCAATATAAGTCCTTATAACACCCACTCAATAATGTGCGTATATATATCGATCTGTAGCTGAGTAAAAGATTTTGCATATACCTCTTTCTCAAAATAAGAAGACAATTTGCAAAATTGTAATCCAATAATCTCATCGTTCAGGCGCTTATCTTCATTTGTGAAACCTCCCAACAATAGCTGGCAATGTAGTACAACTAATGAACTATAGTGGCGATATTATTTTATAAAATTAGGTTTTTCATATACTGTCCACTATAGATACTTTAAAGCGTTAATATTACTAACTTTATACCATAGTGACTCCATATTGCGGCAATTTCCGCAAATAAAGTCGGAGATAAGTCATTAAGTGACGACTGGGAAATCAGAGCATCATCCGTTGTTAGTCTATAAAATATCCTATAATATAATGCGTAAATATTTTATGGATCGTACCTTGATGAAAATTGATATCAATATCACATGTTTAAGTTAGGCCTTGATTATAACCAGAGTCAAAGTTAGTAATAATCAATTATTATAAATGTTTTTATACCCAGAAGGTTCATTTCCTTTTAAGACTTCTTCTCTGATTGTATTTAATGCAGCGTAGCCACTTATCTGTTGTAAAATAGTATCGATTAGTACATTGTACTCTTAAAATAAGCATGAAGTTATTTTCACCGCATAAAATGATAATGGCATACGGAACCTTAGAGGATACATTTTCACTCAGTTTCATTAATTGATTTAATAATGTTAATGATTCGGTAGAATGCTCCTCTTTCTTTATCCAGTATAACCAATGCTAAATAACAAATATATAAATTACTATCAGTTAGCTACATCACATTCTTTATCTACTGTTACATTCAATTTACAACCGTATATGCTTACGATAGCATGCAGTAAGCATTCTTGATCACTTCCCTCTTGTGCAAGTCTAATTGCCTCAGTTAATGCATGTATAGCCTCGGCACTACAATAATAGAATTATCTCGCATGTCAATATTCTATTCGTTTAATTTACAATTTTATAGGGAGTAGAAGTGAGAAATCAACACACTCACTTGTGTCCTAATAAACAATGAAGTATGGCTAAATTTAGTGGAAAGTAACAAAATCGCTTTTTCAGCTTTTGTTCATTAGTGGTACTACGAAAGTCCATTTCTTCAAAATAATGATGTAGACAATTGATTGCTTGAACGTATTCTTTGCATCTCATGTAATTGAGGTATTTGGCGAAAAGCTGCAATGAAATTGCAAGGAGTGCGTATTAGCATCATTCTCATACGACTTTGGGTAGTTCATTAATCTACATGTTACTACTGCAGTGCTGACCAAGCACGCATCATCAATTATTACCAAATAGAACTACGATTAGTCTTACGCTAATGATGTTACTGCTATGAATTGACAGCACGTTACCATTTGGGGCTGGTTAGGGCTATTTTTTAAAATTTTTTCTATATAGCCATGAAGCAGTTGCGGAGATACTGCTTGAGATTCCATAGTGTCTAATAATCGTATCTGATCATTTATCAATTCAGCTGATGGTTTGTACCTAAGCATTTATAATAACGTAAATATAAAAATAAAATTTTACATATCTATGCACGGACTTTTGTACTTCATTTTATAAACGAGATAAAATGTACAGTTATTCCAGTAAGCAATAGTCGTTATAATAACAGCCCCGTTGGAACGACAAGTATCAATTTACAAATTTAAGGATTATAACAAGAATTAATCTATCCACATTGAGATTTATTTATCTATAAATAAAATTATTAGCGGCAATTACTCACTCAATCGATTCTACTTCATCCATTGCACTGTGTTTAAAAGTGCAAATATGATTTCTTAACTCATAAGTTTGTGTAAAATCCTTCTTTTGAAACTCCACTGACATGTGGCGTACATAAATCCCTGCACGAAGCAAACATCAACAGTTTGAAACATTAAAATTACACGTGCGTAATCCACGGAGAAATAGATGACAATATCTCTTGCAAATTTATTTAAGAACATCAGCTATCCAACGCCTGTATGTAGAAAAATGTCCAATCTTTATCGGACTACGTTCGTATATTTGAAATTTATAGATAAAAAATAACCTTTCAGGAATGAAATTAAAATATCATGTATAACTTTTTGTCAATCACTATTGTATATAATACCGAACAAGCTGTCTTTCCGAATTTCCTTTCCCTCTCCTACATAGTTATCCAAGTCTGAAAAAAAGTTGATCATACAGTCCAAAACTTTCAAAGAATCTAATCTTAAAATTTAAAGGAAATGACAATAATTAGATCTGATATTAGCATTCAGATTTGGTGTTTGCATACTTATAACAGTAAATAAATACTTAATGAAATAGAGGATTATAAAATGTACTGATTTCTATGTGAGTATACAGTATGCAAATGCTATTGTTATACTGTCTTTACTTTTGACATAGCGCCGATATAACTTCTTCTCCACCTTCAAAGGTTGCTATTCGATCTTGGATTTGTGTAATGGTTAATTGTGGAGCCTATCCAGTCAATAAATTGCAATAAAAGATTCCATAGTTAACAATAACAATGAAACATAAGCAGGCACTGTACTCGTATTCAGTTACACTTTCAACTTGTAAGATTTTTGCTTGGAAATAAGAGCCTATTTTTTAGTTACTTCAATACTATCTACGCGTATACACATAAAGAGTTAAGGGTTTATTTTGATAGTACAAAGTAGGCAACAACGTGACTTAACGCTTATCATTGATCAACTATATTACATGCCATACCTGTAAGTATACAGTAAGTATACTCATAGTAATTTATACTGTATGTGAATGGGTTTGACCGTTCAAAAAAACTTATACTGATGTGAAAAGAATCAAAACGAAATTTACAATTTGATAAACAAAACACTACGTGCAGCACAGCGAGGCTAAGAAAACATAAAAATCAACAAAATAGGAGTAATATATCACTAAAGTCTGTTACAGGCCTTATTGAATTCCTGATGATAATAAGAGTAACAATGGACATTGCAAAACTGCTAAAGTAATTTTGATTCAATCCGACATCCATTATATCAATGGACTCAGACTACTACAGTGGTGTACTTGAGCAAAGGAGACAATTAATTGTACCGTACAGTATGCATGCATTCTCATCTTCTCTGAGTAGTCCTTGTAAGGCAATTTAGCAAGTACTGCACAATCCTGTAGATTATATACGCGTATTCCAGCATGAAAGCAGGACTTGTAAGAGAAAATGCTCTCAATAATAAGTTCCCAACGAAAGACTAGGGTCCAAATTGTTGGACATGCAAAGTGCAACATCTTACAGCAGAATACAGCATAAATTCAGGTACAAATACACGCAGTATTGCTGCATTTGACTTCAACATTGCAGTGATGAAAGGTATAATATCATTGTAACATTGGTTAGCAAGTAGTGAAAGAGGGGAAAAACAATTCAAAGACTAACCTCGATGAGCTCTGTAATCAGGCAACTTAGTTGTCGACGACATTGAATGGAATATTCGAAATAATTGTCACAGAGTAATTTGATCATAATCAACACCGAAACCTTATGCGGTGTGAAAATGACATCACAAACTTGGCTACAATTCATTTTATTTTATACAGGAGAGTAAATTTGCGAGAATTGAAAAGATTTTTCCTTTAATCCTCCATGCTGTAGGTAGAAATAAATTTCAGTGAAACTTTGCAAGACGACAGTAAGTGGTCAAAGAATCGTCCAGGTTCGTGTCGACGTCTGACGTGTACTCCAACAGTCGTGCGCTGCTGCGTACGTGTTACACGGTCCTGTACCGTAATACGGTATTGCGTACAGTCTGTCTTCGTCTTGGTGTACGTCCAGTACACTAGTCTGCATACTACTGTCGAGTATGGTGTTCCCGCCATAATTTGTATTTTACCGTACCGTATTTTCACTAGTGCAGTACAGTGTACAGTACAGTAGTGCTTAATGTACTGTAGCTGTATGCACTGTAGATCTCATACAGATACAGTACAGTACTGTACAGTACAGTACGTACTTACAGTACTTGGAGTAACAGGAAAACACTGACATCACCCAGCGTACTTAGTATTGTACAGTATAGTGGAATCCTACAGTATACTGTACGCATTTGGTCACCGTACTGTACTGGACTAGACGCGGTTCAGGTCTGGAGTAACATGATCGAAACAAGGCAACTGCACTGTACAGTGTACATACTGTATCATATGCACTGTAGATCTCATACAGATACAGTACTGTACGCACTGTACAGTGTACAGTACTGTACCGTACAGTGCGTACTTACAGTACTTGGAGTAACAGGAAAACACTGACATCACGCAGCGTACTTAGTATTGTAAAGTACAGTACTGTACTGGACTGGAATCCTGTACGCATTTGGTCACGTACTGTACTGGACTGGACGTACTGTAGTTCAGGTCTTCTTCTAGTACTGTACTGGGTGCTAGAGTAACATGATCGAAACAAGGCAAACGTCAGCACAACTGTTGTAGCCCAACCACGGATACCAAAGCTGGAAAGGACAAAATGGCTGCCTATCAAGTACAGAGCACGCAGGACCATGTCAATGTTCGCATTATTTCTAATGTCAATTCTTTCGCATCAGAAAGACGGTACCAGAAAGGCATAAACATCCTTGATTTAAAGGTGCTTGATATTACAGATATGCTGCAAACACACTTTCGGAATGAAGTCATGACGATCCACGGATCGAAATATCATTGACTGACTGCTCGTGAATCCTATCATACTTTTTCACTGTTGTATTCGAACGCACTATTTATTCGAGATTCAGTATACTATATCATTGATTTTGCAAGAGCTAGGTAGGCTTCTATCTAGTAAAGTACTGTAGTCCTTGATTTGATATACCGATGTTGGATATCATAATAATGTATATTTTGCAGATAAAAATTACATCCATTTTATACTACAGAACTACATCAAAGTCATAAGTTAGATGGATCATAACTATCTTGACGATATTTCTCACATTTTGCCAGTATACGAACGAATTTTATGTACTGACTCCTCATAAATGGTATGAAACGTTGTACCTGTTATAAATATTCTTATACTGTATTACTAGTAACTACCCAGTCGCTATACTTGAATACGTACAGTAGAATCATGCAGTCATCAGCAAAGACCCTAAATACCCGAATAGTCTTTCATCTCAGCTGTGTCTTTCGATAATATTATAACACTACAGTATTATAAATAGCCAAGCCTTATATAATTCTTCTTCAATGTATTGATTCTTGCACGTCTTATAACAAATAGATTCATGTACTGTACAAGAATTTTAAATTTAACGTACTGCACCGAAATTTATACTTCATAGGGAAAACTAGAACTCATAGCAGGCACATCAGCCAGCACTACAAGATTAGAACTTCACGACAAAGATGATAAATTTGTATGCAGGATGGATAATGATCAATCCTTACTGGGTTCTTACCCAGTTGAGGATAACATGATTATTCATGTAAGTACGCCTTTACCTAACCCATTCATTGCGTGATTAAACTATTTTAAACTGAGATCAACCATTTCATTGATGAATTACAACGGAATTATTAGAATGTTCTGATTAACACGATCTTTCAATCTGTAGGCAATTGACACCGATCCTTCTCGAAAAGCTGGAGAATTTGAAGATGTTTCCAGGGTTGAGAAATACGAGATGGAAGAAGGCACTTACGACAAACTACCAGGTTAAAATAAAGTAATATTTCTGATTACAGTATATTCCTTTCCATCTTATCTATATTCATAGATTTGTACTTTATACATAACATGCTGAGTAAATGATGCCAACATTTTTTCACTTCTTGCTTTTCTAAGACTAGCAGTAACCTATGTTAACCTATCCATGATATCATCGCAAAACTTGAAGCTGTTGCTTAATCATACTTATGAACTCCTTATCTGTATACTTTTATTTTCGTAGATTCCGTTAGAGCATTTAAAAAAAAAAATAAGATTGGAAGATTTAGTGAGGATTTTGAAAAAAAACAACAAGAAAAGGAAGAATTGGAAAGGAAGGAATCGGAGCGTGTTCAGGTTGGGTCTCGTTGTGAAGTAACACTGGATAATAGCATGAAAAGACGCGGAGTAGTTAAATTTGTTGGTGAGTTTGCCGTCTAGAACTTACAGTTAGTTGAATTAGAACAATACAGTAGTAGCAATGTAGGCTGTAAGTGAGAAAGTACCTTCTACAATTACAGGTAAAACACATTTTAAGCCTGGATATTGGGTTGGTGTTCAGTATGATGAACCATACGGTAAAAACGATGGAAGGTAAAATGCTACAAACGTATGACTTATGTAACTATAATATTCGGCAAAATACTGTAGCTATCATAATTTGTAACCATTCATTTTCTATTGACTTAGTATCGACGGAAAAAAGTATTTTGAATGTCCTCCTAAATATGGTAGCTTTGTCAAGCCAAGCTTTGTACAAACTGGAGATTTCCCTGAAGACCTTGATTTAAGTGACGACGAAATATAAGTACAGCAATAGAGCGCTTGGAGTAAAGTCGTGCAAATATCACTATGACTTTGATTTTCGAAGAGCGCTGGTAGTCGCCTTTGAATCTATTTGTAGAATTTTGTTATTATAGCTTCATATAATATTTTCAATATGTTAATCTTGTGATACTCGAATGCCCGCATAACATATAGAGGCTGATAAGTATAACTGTGGACATAAAAGCATGTAGATAGGGTTTGTGATAGTCCCAGACACAATAAGCTCATTGCTACGTTTGTTCCGCATTAATTAAATTAAGTATACGTATTAATAACAATTTTTTCCTAAGCTACATGTTTATTTAGTAGGCGCCTACTTAAAGCTTTTGTTACAATTTATCAAACATTAACTATCTAGCTAATTTCGTTACTATGTATATATATATTAGCAAATAAAAAAATAGCTTGATTTAAATAAAATTTAGTTACAAAGTTTGACTACACTAATATCAGGAAACAAATAAATTAAACGTAAGTTCTTCTCAAAGATGGCCATGTAATTCTTTGGAAGACAGCACTCATATTTCCATAGTTCATACAGTATGTACAGTTTAGTGATATCATATTAAGAAACTAGCTTAGGCTTATTGAATGGAAAACAATCACATATTAACAACAATAATATGCCAATATAGAAACTCGTGATAAAAACAATTTTATGTACCATAGTAACACATACAGTATTTAGTCATGGGAAAATGACAAAATTAATGGTAACGGTGTATCATTCTTATAAGCTTGAATTAATTATAGTACCGTTCTTGCTCTATAGTTTCATCGAGGTAATAAATTGTGCAATTAGCGTACCAGTAGTGTTTTATTCTGCAGTCTCGCCTATACCCAGCTTTATTTCCAATTTTGTTATCGTTTTATCCCACTCTATAAATTGCCGAGAAAGCATATCAATCTGATAGTAATTATGTTAAGGACAACAAGATAAAAATCATTGTTATAATTGATCGTTTAATTAGTGATTAGGAGCTATTGGTAATTTGTTGTTTGGATACGGCGCTATTATAGTTTATTAGTAACTCCTGGACCTGTTCAGAAAGATGTTCAGTCTCATCCTGAAATGTAAATACCGTCCGCATTAAGAATTTCATCAAAATAGGTATTGCTATAGCTAAATAAAAGAAAGCAGTAATAATGTTACTGTCAACAATCACCTGTTGTTTAGCAAAAATCTCCTGTAGTGCTCTAAATTTCTCAATTTGGTCTGGCACATCTAAATGAAGTAACACGTAATACGATTAAAATTGCTCTGTATTGAATCACAGCGCAGTAAAACAGCCAACTTAAGGATTGCAAATGACGACTATTGTTACGTTAATAGCTTACTTTTCCAAATATCACTGTTTATGAATTCTTCTAAAGACTTGATCTCTTCTAGATGCTCCGATATATCTCTAAAGTAAGTCTCACCTGTAAAATACGTATAGGATTTATGTATTATCGTACATTGCGGTCAGTAGTAAAAGCAGTATGATTAATCAGCCATTTATTAAAAATACTGTACTTACTTGCAAGAATTATTTCTCTTTTCACTTCGTCCGTAACAGTAAGCTCATCAAAGAATTCCGATGAAATAATTTTATGCAAAAATTCGACTAAAACAGATGAGCAAGAAATTTTGCTGAATGTTAGCAGATTTATTGAATATACGCGTATTCGTTCGCCTAAAAGTTCTTATTCCCCATGAGTATATAATTTCAATAACAGAAGCCTTAAACTTATAGTCGCAAGGGCAGAAATATCGGCTATCAATAAATCCCTTAAGCTAATTCACACATTCCAATAGCTTCTTGAACTTAAAATTTGAAAAGCAGGCAAATCTATTAATATTGGTTATCTGATTTACGACTTTCATTTCACTCAATACTTATGGATTAGCAAGTGAATGTTAAGCGACGAAAATTACTGACTTGACTTGAAAGACATCATGATTAGGCTTTCAATCCTTTATAGTTGTGCTATCTAGACGTAGCTGTACTAGGTTGCAATATAATTTGCGAATATTTTGGGCACTACATACAGTACTGTACAAGTGTACACTGTATACTCGTATGTAACTTATTTAATCACTTTATAACTAATACTTCAGAAAACGCATACGAGTATTTTCGAGAATTAAAATGCAATGTCTTACGTTGTTGCCACACATGCTTGATATTCGTTTTTCCAGATCGACTACGATTTAATCGATCTTGTACAATGTATATCCCATCAGCCACCTACAGATACAGCATCCAGTTAACATAATATTACCGTACAAAATAAAGTTAATAAGATATATTGCTCCTAAAGACTTTACTGGTAAATCCAATCTGTAAAGCGATGACACGTATACAGTAGATGTTTCTCCAACTATAGCTATAGATTGATCCTACTATGCTGTAATATAATCAATCATACGCTAGCGCTTTTATCGTAATTTTACCGATTTAACTGGCAAATCCAATCTGTAAAGCGACGACACGTATATAGTAGATGTTTCTCCAACTATAGCTATAGATTGATCCTACTATAATGTAATCTAATCAATCATACGCTAGCACTTTTATCGTAATTTTACCGATTTAAAACGCCTTCTTTCAGCCACTTTTCCGTCTTTTGCTTTATATACCAAGTATTCAAGCTCTTCTATGCGTTTATCTAATAAGCTCCAATCAATAGCTGTTTGATCATCAGACATTTTGATTATTATTACTCGCTTTTTTCTCAGCACAATGTCCAACAGCAAGCTCAGGCGTTGACTACTTTTGGCTTGCCGGGAGAACGTCGCCTGTAGTGTACAGTACAGTACAGTACCGAACCACTGTAGTGTACACTGTACACTGTAATGTACAGTACAGTACAGTGCTTTTGCGTACAGTACACACTGTACGTTACTGTACTGTACTGTACATTGTACAGCAGAGCCCTGCAAATACAGTACAGTAGACCTGGCTGCAAATCATGATTTATTCCATAGGCTACTAACCAATCTAATTATTCAACTATTCAGTAACGTGTACTTAAATAGTCTGTTTTCAAGTATTTTACCTAGTTTTACTCGAAATTGAGCATTTTTTCGTAGCAACACATTCCAAACATCCTCAGCAGAGCTGTACAAATCATGATGGTCCATAAGCTACTAACCAATCTAACCATTCAACTATTCAGCAACGTACTTAAATAGTCTGTTTTCAAGTATTTTACCTAGTTTTGCTCGAAATTGAGCATTTTTTCGTAGCAACACATTCCAAATATCCTCAGCAGAGCTGTACAAATCATGATGGTCCATAGGCTACTAACCAATCTAACCATTCAACTATTCAGCAACGTACTTAAATAGTCTGTTTTCAAGTATTTTACCTAGTTTTACTCGAAATTGAGCATTTTTTCGTAGCAACACATTCCAAACATCCTGTACTGTACATTGTACAGCAGAGCTCTGCAAATCATGATTTATTCCATAGGCTACTAACCAATCTAACCATTCAACTATTCAGCAACATACTTAAATAGTCTGTTTTCAAGTATTTTACCTAGTTTTACTCGAAATTGAGCATTTTTTCGTAGCAACACATTCCAAATACCCTGTACTATACATTGTACAGCAGAGCTCTGCAAATCATGATGGTCCATAGGCTACTAACAGTGCTGTAGAATTGCACGATATAGTGTATCTAGTGGTCCATGGCACCATTGGTAGTACTGTACTGTAAGGTGTTGCATAAGTCAAATTTTATGGTATCTTTTAATTTAATTAATAAATCGAAGAACCAAGTCAAACATGAACTCTTCAAATAATTTAATAACCTTGCAATACAAAGTCGAAGAGCTCTAAAATTTCCTTACGAAAGATAAACAACCTGTAAAGAAATTATCGCAATTTGTTTATTAATGCAATATCTCGTATCTTCTAATAGTGGTTAATTTATGATTGTAAAATCGAATCTCAATCTTGTAATATCAATACCAAATGAAATACTGTACATACTGTATGCTATGAATATTGATACTGTGTAAAATGTGAAAGTTTTAAAGAGCATAAAATTATTCTACACATAATTATCTATCATTATAATTATATAAGTAAATCAGGTCGATATTATGGTTGTCTGACACCTTCGAAAGTGCTTAAAGAAATGTAGTACTATTTCGCTCCTATAAATTAAATTATAGCATTATCTGTACAACTATAGTTCGATGTTCGTAAGCGTGTACTGTTTCAGTGAGAAAACGATCCAATATATTACAATATGTTGCAATATAAGTATATGCAATGCAATATGTTTAACTTCCAAGATATTAATTATATGGTAGTTTTAGTAATCGATGGATGTGACTTAACACATGACATGTTACCACAAAAATAGCGCTGCCTTTATAGCATAGTTAATTAAAAATAGAGTATTAAGTTTAGACTTTTGATGGTCTGCATCTTGCAGCTATGAATGCTAGTAGTAGAAAAATTTAGTTATTTGAGCTAGAAGCTACAATATGAATAGTTGAAAAGCGATTTCCTAAAATGGACAATCGACGTCGCCCATTTCAACATAGACAGTTTTTAATTGAGAGTAGTGGTTAAGGGTTTGCGCACAATTTTCACGACCGATGCCAGACTCCTTGTAGCCTCCAAATGGAAAACCGGTAGGATATATATTATAGTTGTTGATCCAGCATGATCCCGCTTGCAATTTTGCTATGACTCGATGAGCTCGTTGGATATCTCTAAATAATAAATGATTGCATCAGAAAGAAATAAGTAATCAATGTTGTTGAGAGAACTGCTAGTTAAGACCATATAATATATTTACTTTGTGAATACTCCAGCCGAGAGTCCAAATACGGTGTTATTCGCTCTCTCAAGTACTTCTTCTTCATCTTTGAATGATAGAATAGATACGACTGGACCGAAGACTTCTTCCTTGACAATTGTCATGTCGTCGTGGCAAGAATCCAGAACGCAAGGTGACATATAAAATCCACCAGCTAATTCTGAATTATCGAATACAACTCTCTCACCACCACATCGAATACGAGCACCCTAATAAGAACACAAGGAAATATTGTTAGACATGATATAAGCTTAAGGCTAGCTTGGCTGAGAAACTACAGTAATATGACGGCGAGTTTTTTACATTATACTAATCAGTATGCTATTATTGTAGATGTGAAAGATTAAACGGTACAGTTGTATTTACCTCGGTCACAGCCTGATCAATGTAAGCTTTGACTCTATGGTAATGTTCCTCAGAAATTAATGCGCCAACTTGGGTTTCTTGCTTGAAAGGATCTCCAATTATCATTTTTTTTGTGCGCTCCATTAATCGAGTAACAAAGTCATCAATGATACTATCATGAATATAAACCCTTGCAGCGTTGGAGCAAACCTACAGAATATAGGCAAAACTTTTGTTAGAATCCTATTTTACAGTAGTAGTATATTTTATTGGAGAAATTGGTGCTCATCAATCCATAGAATAACCTATTCCGTTAGGAATAAATGCGGTATCAATAGGTAATATACCTGCCCTTGAGATAGGAAGTTCGCCATAAGCGTACCAGATACTGCATTATCGATATCGCTGTCTGGAAAAACGATCAGTGGTGATTTACCACCTAATTCAATAGTGGAATGCTTGACACCACTAGAGCAATATGACATAATCTAAAAAAAAAAAAGCAGCATGAAGCATTTTCAATCATAGCCTATATCATAAAATGATAGTATAATAACTCTGGGTATGAAACTTATTTATATTACTACGACATAGCTAATTATAATCAACATCATCAGAGGCGGTACAGTAGAGTACAGTATACCAAAAGCGCAGTATCATTACTTCAGCTAATCTTGTATGAAATTAACATAAAAATGTTGTACCATATCATTGAATAAAATGCGACTCTAATCGCAAAGTAATTACGATTCGATTAAGTATAAATTTATAAGACATGTAAGGCTATAAATTTCAAATCGAGTATGTTGTCCATGGTCATTGAATATCCTTTATCCGATAGTGCACCGGTGTCTCATATCAATTCACTAAAATCTTAAAACGATTGATAGCTGACTATTAAATCGTACAACCAATTGCATGTTACTAAGGCTATGTAATCTGATGATACTAACTACCATATCTCATTAGAGAACATTTATCGTAACTGGGCAGTTAGTTACTATATACGCGTATGTTGCTTTCAGAACCACGAAATAGTAATCAAAAACTAAATGCACATGATGCTGTACCGTATGACCATGATCAATCGAGATCATTCCTTAGATCGCAGTATTTTTGCTACAGATTTTGGTAGATTTACCTTCTTACCAACAGGAACTGATCCAGTAAATGATACCTTAGCAACAGAAGGGTGCTCACAAAGTAGCCTACCAGTCTGAGATCCACCCTGAACAACATTATAGCATCCTAGCGGTAATCCAGCCTCAGTAATAATATCACCAAGCAAACTACTGGACATAGGAGTCATCTGCGATGGTTTGTAAACAATCGTATTTCCGCAAGCTAAGGCAGGTGCCGTCTTCCAGCTCACAATTTGAATTGGGAAATTCCAAGCCCCAATACCTACACAAACTCCTAATGGTTCCCGCTTCGTATATGCGAACGAACCGTTAGCAAATTCAAAGTGTTGACCTGCAAAGTGAAACGGGTCCAATGTACTGACTGAGTTGATTGTTTACAGTTAGACAAAACAGTTATAGCATCTACTCCTCTACGTTGAATCCGCGATTTTGCGTATCCATGCTCAATTGTGTTCCTTTATGCTATAGTACCTGATAAAGTTGCAGCAATCCCACCGAAATATTCGAAGCATTCAGCGGCACTTTCAACATCACATCTGGCTTCGCTTATCGGTTTGCCAGTATCTCTTACTTCCAACCTGGCGATCTCTTCGTTTCTTTGCCTTAATAGCTTCGATATCCTAAGGAGAGCACGACCACGATCTATGGATGTTTGGGCTGACCACTCAGGAAATGCTGATAGAGCGCTCTTTACTCCATCATTTACAGTTTTGGGTCCAGAACTTGACAAGTTGCCTATTAATTTATTGGTAGCTGGCTCCCTGATTTTGAATCGCTCTTCCGCTTCATCAGCAACATGGCATCGTTGTCCATTGATATAATTTAATTTTAGGGCATTATCACTAGCACTAGAACAAGTACGAGACAGAAGTGACAATTTGTTGATGAGCGATGCATAACAATTAAAGTGAGAATGATTTAAATATCGAACAGAAATTTGGGGAATCATGGTGATGTTGACTTTGTTTTTTTTTTATTTTTATCAACAGTGATCGAAGAAAGTTTTTACCATCTCCAGGTAACTACAATACCGTACAGTGTACAGTGTACAGTATTCCAATTCAATCCAGTCAATTTATACTGACTGCACTTCCGTCGTCATTGCAGTAGTCTAGTGCGCTGTTGTACTGTACAACTTGCATGACTGTTGTAACTGGATTATGGCAGTGGTTGGAAACCAGTATAGACCGGTTGTCACAATTTCACAACCCGGTTTTCATAATCAGTCAACTTGACTTTTCATTTCGCTCGTTGGTATTTGGCATACTTTGGACTTAATAATAGGACTGTCCAGAGTTATTAGCCCACCCCACAGAGGTAAGAAGGAAAAAAACATCCACTACTAACATGCCTAACTCAGTATACTGTACTGTGTACACTACTGTACTACTGGCAGCTGCAGCAATGGCATTCAAGTGTAGCCATGATGGAATGATCATCCAATTTCACATCCCAAATGGTCAGTATACACTAGTATAGATTGTACTAAGGTCTTTAATGTACAATGTACAGTACAGTACTGTATACTGGTTACCAGCCAAGTTAGAACGAACCTTTTTTAAAGGTCTTATACTATACAGTACAGTACAGTACAAGGTCTTGGATTCTTTCTTTGTACTGTACAGTATGTACTGTACTGTACTAGGGAACGTATGAAATTACTGTACAGTATTTTACTGTACTGTACTGTAGGAGATTTGAACACGGACTACAGTGTACAGTACACCGCACTCTACTCTACAGTACGCTGTACTGTACGCAATGAAATGTGCAGGTGTTATTAATTTCTTTCCGACCAAATCGATCAAATTTTATGAGAGGAAAGAGGAAGATCTCATCAAGATATCGATTGATATCAATTTTACCCCAAACTGATCAATATTTCCACCTTTGATTTCATTTTTCGTAATCTGAGTAGAAGCTACACTCAGTAGGAAATACTGTCAATGAGATGCTAATGTACTGTATTTCTATCAATGTTTAAAGAAGATGTGCTATATTTTTACATTTTAACAGCTTTTAGAGTAGGATTTTCCAAGATGATCTCAATTTTCTCGATTGTACTTTCTGTGGCCGTTCGTTATACTTTCGTGGTTTGCTTCTAGTGATCCGTGATATCATCACCATGGACTACGCTACAGTACTGTAGAAGAAGAGCTGGACTGATGGCCCTCCTCCTTGGACGGCCGCCTCTTCTCCTAAAATAGCGTGCCAAACACTTGGTTATGACAGTCCTTTAGTAGGAAGAGCTGGTCGATTCTCAATTGACTAATTTTTTTTCTCAATCAAGTCATGTAACATTGCATCCTCAGTATCTGTTACTTGAAAACAATTATATAACACGGTCAATATTACTTTAAAATTAGTGCCAGTAATTTCGAAAACAGATACAAACTGTGTATAAAGTTATTAGCACACCCCCTACACAACGTTGGTATAAACCATAATGAATCGCTGCTGGGGGCAGTCTAGAATAACACAAGAAATGAGACGACGTACAGTAAGCCTCCTGCTGATAAAGCAATTAAGATAACACGGAACTGTACTGTACTCAGGGTACTGTACCCTATTCTTATTAGTACACTCATACGTCTTGCGTTACAGATTTGGTGCTCTACCGCAAATAAAAAGCAACAGTAGAGATTACTACGCACTGTTTGCGTAGTATTCGTGTTGACTTGTGTACGTGTATGTCCTATCGGTTATCAGCATTGACATCACGTTTTATTTCAAGTTGAACCGTATTGACTCCCACCCAATCACACACTGTATCGCAGTGCAATTGACTGCCGAGGTGAACACGTTCTAATGTACGTACGTACTATACAGAACGTAACAGCTGAGGTGACACGTTCTAAATGTACGTGCCTACACTACTGTACAGTACAGCACAGTACAATAGGAGGTGGGCACAACATACTGTACGCGTACAGTACTGGTACTGTACAGCATTATATTACTGTCCTGTATTGTTCTTCGTCTAAACTAAACTGGCCTTAAAGTAGGTACAACACTTGGCTAGCTATCTGGCCTGCAAGACTAATTGTGGCAGTTTTTTCCTTCAGTATTTGATCATTTTGACCCATCTTGTAGAAATTATTGCTTAGAAATCGAGTAGCAATTATATACTGCAGTGGAAGGACTATCAGTCAGTTTTGCACTCTACCTTGATCATTAATATCGTTATTGTCAACGGCATTTCCTGGCGTTCAATCGTTCGTTATTGGCTAAAAATGCCTAGCGATCGATATGCTAAAATGATTAAAACACTTCAGCGGAAACTGGGCATTAAGCTGCTAGCGATCGATTTCGATAAAACTTTAGTCGACATTCATACGGGTGGATTATGGCTGCGAGAAACTTCAGATCTTGTCCATCATGTTCGGCCTGGCGTACGATCCCTCATTGCTAGCGCTTTAACGGCTAACCTTCGTGTTTGTATTGTCACATTCTCATCACAGGTGACACTAATCTCCAATGTGTTAAAGGCTTCCTTACCACCAGAGTGCGAAGCAGATCACATTATCATTCGTGGTTGTTCAGGAGATTGGGATAACGATATAGACTTTAATCGATGTGGCAAGCAGTACCATTTACAATCAGTTATGCAAGAGTTAAAAGAGAAACATCATATGGAATTAACCTTCGAGCAGGTTATGTTGATAGACGACGATGGAGATAACGTCGATTACGCTCGAAGAAATGGTTGCAAAACCTTATTATTTGTTGACGATGGTAGCTTGAAAGCACTAAAAAGCCCCAAGAAGTTGAAGAGTTAAGATACAAGAGGCAATACTGTAATGGATAAATTCTTGAATTTAATAGCACAAGTAATGTTGAGGGCAGTATTCATCCCAACAAATGTCATGACGAAATGCATAATAGCTATCTTAGAAAGTGGACACATGAAGTTTTTTGCCATATGTATGAAAAAGCCATCCCAGTATAGCATCATGGTACAGTATATCAACATACAACATTGATTAATCTGCGTTTCTACAATCTTGAAATTACCCTAGTGTCCTGTTGGATGATATCATGAAACAGAACAATGATCGCCATTTTATAATTTTAATGTAATTAACCATTGCGTCTTGATCGTATTTGATTTTATGCGTATTCTCCTTGATTGTGAATCTAAGACGTACCAATTCGAGAAAATTCAGACAATCTTTCGTTTAAGCAATTCATCCATAATGGAGTATAATCGTGTTTTTAGCCGAGATTCAACTACAATTGCTACCATCATCAATGCTATATCAACTGTAGTACCGTAGACGACGAGATGATCATTTAATTTCAGTGCAACTGCATCATTTGCACGCGTTATTATACGTATGCTAGTATTCGATGATGTGCACTTTTTACGACTCTTTTCACGTATACACTGTACATTTTACAGTCTACATGAAGGCATTCGATAAATTAATTAAACTATGCATCTATTCGTTGTACTCTTTTCGTCGTCGAAGTATCGCCTTTTTTCCGATCAAACGGAAGATAAGAGTACGCCGCGCTGTCTATAAATAGAGAAAAGTGATTAGAAATTTATTTTTCTGTTGAATTTATCTAGATCGTATGATTCCTGTTAATAACTTATAGAAACTTTTTATTATATAATTGATCATATCTAAAACTATTTAGCTGTATTTTTTTTACGACATTATTTGTTGGCAAAAGTGCAATCACATATTCATATATTAATATTTTGGATCTACATGTACCTATATTCAGTGAAAACAATCAAGTATTTCGTGGTATATGGTCTCTCAATCTTTCGCAGTCATGCAAGCGCAAATTAGGCAAAAGTGTAAAATATAACATTTACCATTTGGCTACATAATTCGTATCTTGAATGGAACTGTATTAACTTATATTATGATCAAAATATAATAGCGTGATATTTACTGTAAGGTTAAAAATCTTACCTTATAATTGTAAGACATTTTTCGCTGCAAATTTCAATACGCCACAAATTGGGCAGATGTATAATTCTTTTTTCATGCTGTTAGTGTTCTACAGTGGCGTTACTGTAAGGCATGTTCGATAACTTACATCTTTGTCATTGATGTTCTCTATTATAATTTCAAGTATCTCTTTATTATATTCAAATTATTATGATTAATTTGACATAAATCATGATTAATCATTTAATGCTTCGATCAAATTATTGTATAACTATATTCTTGTTTTTCATACAAGACATAAATTTTACGTTTGACACGTCAAGATAAACCTTACCGACTATGGCATCCTAACAAAACTCATCTTTTTACTGTACTGTAGATTGCATACTCGTATAATAATGCAATAATACATGTAGGTACGTCATGCTTGTCAAATTTTCAGGCAGTAAAACGCGTCTTAAGTGTCATAAAGACAGATAGCATCTTTTTGGGGGGACCAATGATTAATTTTATTACATTTGTGGTACTGCTTAGATAGAATTTAAAGCCAACATCTAACGTACAATTATGCATTTACCTACAGATTGATAAGGGCAATATTCAATTCTGTTACCGTTAAGATCATACTTGCTTGTTATTAATCTATCGTTTAAGTAGCGATTATGCAGTGTTGTAAATTCTTCTAAAGAATAATGATTTTCGATACTAGTACAGTTGATAATCAGTAGTAAAGAAATTCTGGGCTTTGTTGCTCACGATAAGCCATGCTTATAGAGTAATAACTCACAGTGCTAATATACTGTACGTTCGCGTATTTACTTCTTTGGATAATTTCTATCATGCCTATGTAGTACATATATTACTATATTAATGATAGAACTGGTTTATAATGTATGAAAAAAGTTATATTAAAAACTGTAATTGGCATTAAGTAACTGTTACATTACTGCTAGTGCCTTTTAAGAACTATGATTACCTAAACAGATGAAAACGTGATTTTAGACAGCCTGATGTTCAAACTCAAGATTATTGCAAATTAAGTGCTACTATTATCAGATTAAATCCCTCATGAAATGTTTTCTGAATTGACTACTAAAGATGCTTTCAGTGGCTCTTCTTAGTATATGCGCTACAACTAGTAGTAGCTATGCTATTAGAGCATGTCTCCAATTTAGAATACTTAAGCTTGATTTAGGCAAAAGTTGACTTAGATCCAGTTTTATGTAAGAGGTAAAATTTACGTAATTCCCAGCAAACGATGCTGTTTTAGTTAATTTACTTTTACTTGGCAAACAAGTAAAGCTTGCCGCTGATCCCCGTTTCTATTCAATAATTCCTATGAATTAACCAGCATCAATAGTACAATATTATTACCTGTCGCAAGATGCAACATATAAATATAATCTATAATTGAATTAAAATTTTCAATGACGTATTGGCTAAATTACTTTAAAAAATTTTTATTACCCCTGTGTATAACATAAACGTGTATCGTGCCACCGATCATACGATTATATCATAAATCCATGTCAATGGGACAATCAATTACTTGTTTATATTGTGAACAATTTTTAATAAAACTGAGTATGAAAAAAATATATAAAACGTACTAGAGATATCTGTATGAGGGAAGTGCTTTAATATTATGCAATCTTGTTAAGTTGTGGTATTGAATACTTGGTCATAACATCACGCTGCAATATAGCTTACTATACAGAAGTATTGACAAAGAGAGTATTACTGCGGTTAACTCCTCCTTGCTTACTAGGAAGTCTTACTAGACTTTCCGTACCGACTAATGTTAGTTGGTATGTGAAACCAAAATAATCCGGTCTGCTATCAAGTGTGATTAAATTGGTTGTAACTTTATTACGAATCTAAAAATTGAAATAAATGTATAAAAACACTCATATACACCTTTGAAGAAGTATTTTTGAGTATACGTTTGATATTTTGACGGTACCTTAATTTCATATGTTTATAATTAAATTGTAGTTACTAAAGTCTGATACTGTAATAATCTTCTCATACTTATAATAATTTTTACTGTAGTGATACCTTACCATTATTAGCATTAGTCTAATTACAATACTATTTGCATTTTAAGCGAGTCATTTATCAACAAGCTATGAAAAACGTAGTCATGAAACTAAATATACATTAGAAAGTACCCAGTTTTGACTATAAATATTTATCATCAGATATTTGCTCATATGCCCACATATCCATGCTACGTAAGAGCTAATATAGCAATGTATCTTTAATCAATAGACATCTACATATCGTATTGTTAAGAAAAATGAACACCGGGATCAGACTACAATTATAATCTTCGTACATCTGTGTGTATTTCTGATCAATACAATGTTTCTACCAGCCTCGGTATTTCATTCTACAGTCAATGTTATTTCTTATTTCCTATATTGCAGTGCTATATGGTCTACCAGTCAGTGAGCTACTCTATATTCAATTTAATTAATTTCAAGTAATAGCATTAAAAATTTGGCAATACGTAAAAGATTTTTTTCTTGTTTGCGCTTATCTTTCATGAACCAGTTATCACTAAAATTATTTTACTAAGGATTGAGCTAGACACACAGAGAAATAGATAATACAATTTATCGCTGGTAACTTACAGCTACGTATGAGATTGTCTAGCGTTTTCTATTAGAAGTGTGTTTAAATTAACCCATTTTCACTTAACAATAGGCGCAGGAAAATTGTTCACGTATTTTCTTATAAAATTTCGATGTGTCTATTAATGGATCTGTCTTCACTATTAAATTCATAATTTAAAATATAATTACAGTATGTATAGCTACAATATTTACATTATAATAGTGCTTTATATTACTTATAGCATTGTCTTTGTGGTGATGTGGCAGCTTGGATATTTAGAATAGTATCCTTTATTCTTGATGCATGCGATCTCAACAATTCTAGTCATATTTAAGAGTAAAGCCACGGTATGACTATTATCAAGTTAAGCTGGTATAGGAAGTATCATTCATATTTTAGGGCTATGCGATGAAATGTATGCTAAAAATATCGATGCACTAATAGTAAATTAATATAGCACATTGAGCATTTATTAAAAAACAGGATTTATTTACATATTTGATTGTAAAAAAATTATCGAATACTAAGAAGTAGCAGTTTCCTTCTGTTGTGGTCGTATTCGTAGCAATTGACCATCGTTTATTGTGTAGTAGTTACTTAAACTTACTTTGGATTTAACAATTTAAAACAATACAAAATGGTACATTTGCACGGGTGAAAATAAAAATTCCATTTCATATCTTATTAAAAACGCATTATTTAATGTCATATTTTGGGCGTCTATTCGTATATTTAATTAACGATGAGGTATTCACAGTGATAAAAATTTCTGTTTAGTCTACTGATGTTCTATTATCATCCCAATGCATACATATAACTATTTTGATTTGGTGACGAGTCCCCCGTCCGTATGCCCGTCCGAATAATGAATGCTTCTTTCATAAAATACAAAATGAATACAGATATATCGCTTTGTTTATATTAACCCTCCAACCCCATCTATTTACTAATTATTAATATGTACCACCACAGGATGTTGAGAAGTATCGACAGATGCCATATTTAAACCGGTAAATGGACATACCATTAATAATTCATACTTTTACACAGCTATTTTTAATACAATCGATATTCGTGCTATTCTCTGTTTTCAATTGTTAGAACGTCATTATGATCACGTTGAAGATAATATTGTAATTTCGGATTAGATTGTACAAGGAAAAGGGAGGGATACAGTTTCTCAATGCACTTTTTTATCTATAGAAATATCGACCTTGGTATCTTTTATGTTAAAGTATGCGATGGAGCAATAC